TGAGGTTAATTTCTTTTAAACAATCAACGAGGTTACAAGCTTTATCGACTTGATCTGAAATTTGCTCTAATAACAAACGTTTTTAATTGCGTTTTAAATTTTCTAAAACTCCTTGATCCATTGGCTGAATCAGTGACGTTACATTCGGAGGCAAAAACACCACTCGTATTTCTCCACTTTTAAGTTTCTCCTCACTTGTATGGCTCGGAGCATTGTCTATTAGCAAAATATATATATATATTTTTTTTGGGAATAAAATGATTGTAAAACCAGAGCGGCATCCATCCAGGCATTTTTTTGATTTTTATACCACACTGGAAGAGCGTTGGGACGGACGTGTTTAAGGCCCGTATCGTCAGTCGTTCCTACAATTGTAGGGCGCGTTTATGGCCTCCTTGATTATCATCCTCCTTTCTCTCCTTCAAACATTTCTAGATTACACTTGTCCCATGTCAGCGTCAGCGCTCTCCTATTGTAAAGATATGTTTTCTTTTTAAATTGTAGGAAATTTCAGGCTGATAAAACATGATGTAACTCAAAAGCAAGCACAATTTGATGCAAATAGATGTTTGTGACATAACCTCAAAATAGAGTTCTTACACGGAGAAGCAGAAAACTATGACAATCAAGGAGGCCATAAAGGCGCCCTACAATTGTAGAGACGACTGACGATACGGGCCTAAATGCTCTTGGTTAATCTCATTTTCCGATTAACAACAAAGGAAGTTTGTGTGTACCGGAAGCATTGGTACTCACGCCCACACCCAAATCATTTTTTAAGCAAATCACCTCTATCTGAACGTCTGATTGCCTCAAGTTTATGTTCTATGGTAATAACGCGTTTTCGTTTATTTCTACGCTGCCCCATCTTAGCGATTATGAACCTGACTGAAACAAACATACACGCACACATACCAGTGAATTCCGCAAACGCGCTTGGGGAATCACCGACAGCGAATCTAATGACGCCAACGTCAGGGGAACTACCGGCGGCTATTTCGGATCATGCGCCGATTTCCCGAACAACTTCGGTTAAATCTAAGCAGTTCAAGGGTCGTATTAACAAAATTTCTTTGGGATCATCATAGCAGCCGCGGTGTTCCGGCATTTAGGCTTCTGCCTTCGCGGCTGCTTCGATATATACAAAAGAATCGATGTGGTTTTCACGCAGTTCTATTGTTTTAATGGCTTTCTATGTACTGTAAACGTTTTACCCTCCCCCCTCCAAAAACTTCTCCTCCAGTGAAGAGTAACGTGAAAAAATTGATATTACATGAAAATATACCTGGAGAAATGCGGTTTTTACGTTAATTGAAGACCAAAAGTCACTCGATCACACCATATCACCAAGTCCAGAACACCTCCTCTTTGTTTATACATAGCAAATTGGAAAAAATATGTTACATATTCGTAAAAATGAGTGAAGACCAAAAAGTTTTTTTTGCATTTCTGGCATCATTCTTGACCCACGTTTGTTTATACATTCGAAGTATTTGAAGCTGTGTAATGCCAAGTAAGTTACTTTGAAATTTCGTATCAATAACAAATGATGCAATATTAATGCGGAATATAAAAATACTACGCGATAACATTGTTTTTGTTATTCGTGGATTCATATCAAATAAATCAAAATACGTGTCAAGTTAAGGATAATAATATATCTTTTAGCAAATAAAAAATGAAAATAAATGAATGTAATAATATCCATACAAACAAATATTTTATCTAATTAAGTCCCGTTTTGTGAACTTAATTGTGATTGTCTCTCTTATCTATCGCGTTTTTTTCTCAGACAGTTGAAAATCACATACTGAGAGAACTTGTCTGATAAAAACCAGTAACATAGCTTTCGTTGGTTCGACAGCACACAGCCAACCATGAACAGCTGTTTCGTGCTATTTGGCAACTCATCAGCGTGGTGTAGGCTTAGTCGCAATTAGGACAACGAACGAAAGCCGAGCAACTTCCTCTATCCAGGATATAACGTCTTCCAAAAATACCATCTCTTACCAGAATCGACCACTGTATCCCACTAACAAAAGCTATATTACTAGTTTGTTCAATAGCGAGTCGACCGTATCTACCTTACCGCCAGAATGGCTTACATAATTTGTAACCGCCCTATACAGGGTGTTAATAGAAGACCAGGAAAGTTGGAGACTTAAAAGTGTTAAAGTATACAGGGTGTTTCAGTTTATTGTTGCATAACTTTAAGATTCGATAAAACTTTTAAAATTAATGCATAAAGTCTATATAAACATGGGTCGAAAAATGCGTGGCTTCCGAAATACAGGGTGTTTAAATATACTTTCTAAAATAGTTTTTTTTTAAATATTTCGAACAATATTTGATGTGTAACAGTGAAAATTGGTATACAAGGGTTTTTGGTACGGCAAAACGAACCATGGGCATAGTTTTACTGTAGCCGCTAGAGGGCGCTCTCTACTGTACCTGTAGTGTATCAAAATTACCGAAAAAAAATTCTTAGTGCAACTTTTTGCTTTTTGAATAAAAAAACTGATTCTTCGCACTTTTCAACATAAAAAAGCTCTCTTGTGAATTTTCGTTATAGTTAGCCGTTTTTGAGATATTTCGATTTTTAGGGTTCGATGCATTTTTAATTATTTATGATAAAATAACGTTAAAAAGTCAGTATCTCGATAATTTTCAGAAGTAGGCTGTGCCTGCAAATATTTTTGAAATTGAAAGCAGAATAAGGTTAAACGTCAATTAGTTGACAGTTAGTTTTGTTGTCTGTTGAAACCTGAAACGTTTTTTTGCAATTGTGAATGCACGAAATTTAGTTTCTTTTACCTGTTTTTTTTTTGTAAGTTTTATGAAAATGCCATTTTTATTCTCCAATCAAGAGTTAGCGGATATTCATTTTGTTTATGGCTATGTAAATGGAAACGCATTAGAAGCAGCCAGAGAATACGCACGAAGATTTCCAAACAGACGACATCCAACTCGCTCAGTATTTGTAAGAGTGCATCGCCAAATAATTGAAAATGGTTTTGGAAATCTCCAAAGGGATCAAAACATAAATGTTCGTCAGCGCAGATTTACCCGTATGATTCTGCGTGAGTTTGATAGAGATCCGACCACAAGTGTTAGGAGAGATTCTGGTGCCTTGGGAATTTCAGCAAGCCATGTTCACCGTGTCCTTAGAAATGACCATAGACGTACTTACCATTTGCAACCTGTGCAAGGACTACAGCCAGGGGGCGGAGAACGAAGAATCACATTTTGTCAGTGGATTCTTGTTAGAACTGATAATAATAGGGAGTTTTTAAGTAATGTTTTATGGACCGATGAGTCATGCTTCACTAGACGTGGAGTGGTAAATTTTCATAATCAACATATTTGGCGCATGAAAATCCGCATGCAGTTCGGGAAAGAAATTTTCAGCATGAATTTATTGTGAACGTGTGGATTGGTATCTATCGTAATCGACTATTTGGACCCCAGCTTTTGCCTGCAAGGTTAAATGCTGCGACCTTCTTGGAATTTTTAAAGGCTGTACATGCAAATATGTGGGATGATGTTATGTTAGATTTAAGAAGATTGGTCTGGTTCCAGCTTGATGGTTGTTCAGCTCATTATTCGAGAATAGTTAGAAACTGGCTGGATAAAAATTATCCAGAAAGATGGATCGGCCGTGGAGGACCATTCGCCTGGCCTCCACGATCCCCTGACCTAAATCCATTAGATTCTAAAAAAAAAGTGTACCAGACTCCCGTAACCACAAAAGATATGCTAATAGACAGAATCAGGAATGCATTTGATGAAATAAGGCCTTATTTGAATAATGCTATACCACGTTCGATCATTCGTAGATGTGCATTGTGTATTGAACAATTGGGTTTACATTTCGAGCAACTACTTTAGATTTTGTATGTTTGTCCTAACTACCCAATAGCATTTTAGTTGTAAATAATTAATTTAATTTGTTAAAAATAATATTGGAAAATTAAACAAATTAATATTCTGTTTTTTTGTGTTTATTTGGAGTTAGGAATTATTGCTGTGTTTAAAAACACAATCTAAACGATCATCTTAATTACTTGTAATACCCAAATCGAAAATGTAAAAAAAATATTATTTTCCCATAAATAATTAAAAATGCATCGAACCTTAAAAATCGAAATATCTCAAAAAGGGCTAACCATAACAAACACTCACAGGAGAGCTTTTTTATGTTGAAAAGTGCGAAGAATCAGTTTTTTTATTCAAAAAGCAAAAAATTGCACTAAGAAAAATTTTTTGGTCATTTTAATACACTACAGGTACAGTAGAGAGCGCCCTCTAGCGGCTACAGTAAAACTATGTCGTTTTTTCGTACCAAAAAACCCTTGTATACCAATTTTCACTGTTATACATCAAATATTGTTCGAAATATTTAAAAAAAACTAATTTAGAAAGTAAATTTAAACACCCTGTATTTCGGAAGCCACGCATTTTTCGACCCATGTTTATATAGACTTTATGCATTGATTTTAAAAGTTCTATCGAATCTTAAACTTATGCAACAATAAACTGAAACACCCTGTATACTCGTATTTTCAATACGCTACCAAATCCTATTAAACAGTGTGGAGATATGAATAATTTTAACGCTAAACTGACAGAATGTTTTATAAGTAAATGTTACGGGGTCTCCGAGTTTATTTTATGATTTATTTGTGTTTGTTTTATGCATATATTTATTATGTGTTCTATTTTTTTACTTTGACGAATCCTATACATACATGGCCCGGTTTTAAATAATCCCAAAATGGCTCATTTACATACATTGTAATGTCTCTTAGGATAACGAAGAATCTGAATTTAAAAACTTCTTGAAGAGCGGGAGCAGCAAATTTTCTCAGGGGAGGGCAAATTGAAAATCCCCAAAAATGTACACAACATTTTGCTAGATATGTTCCTTTTTGAGGACCAACCGAATTGGCATGGGAGCCGCGGCCCCCCTAGCATCCTTGCGGACGTGTACCCCCCTGCTATTATTTCATACATTTTTTTATTTCATACATACCTGAAGCAATCAAATTCTCTAATAATAAAACTGCATTCTCATCAACGATATCACTCCGATCAAGATTTTTCCTAGCGCCGTAACATTTCGGGAAAAAATCGTACGTTTCCTCCATCCCTTGCTCCTTCTGAAACTGTTGCAGCGTCGGCACAATCGTATTATAAAATTCCGCTTCGGCCACAAAAGAATACTGAACGTTGAAAATTTTCCGGGCCACCTCGTCTTCCGGAATCAACTTGGCAACAACGCTCAGCTGATCGCCGGTACCACTTTCTTCGCCTTTTAACAGCAGATCCACTTTCAGCATTTCGCTGCCGTAGTTTTCGCCTGGCTGGGTCAGTCTAGCGACCTTGGATTCCACGATCTTCTTTTGTTTGTCGATGTGATCGGCCACTAGATCTTCCAATTTTTCTATTTTCGGTACGTTTGACATTGTACATATGTGATGATCGACTTGTTTAGCGGTACTGATTACTGAAATCACGATGTGAGAGTTTGGATGATTCAGCAGAACCTGTTTTTTTCACCGAGTGTATTATTATGGATTATGTGATGATTGGCAAGATTTTGTTTTGATAGGTATACAGGGTGATTTGCGATTGTTTAGATACAGTGCCCATTAGCGGAGTCCGACGATGGGCAAGGTATAGGGAGGATGCAAGCATACAGGGTGTTAAGTATGTACCATACATTTAACAGACGATTCTTTGAGTCATTTTAGGACAAAAAGTTCCGCATAGGTCCGCAAATTCTTAGTTTTCAAGATGCAGGGTGTTAAAATTTTTATACAAATGTTTTTTTCGTAAATGTTTCAAATATCCTTTACTTAATTTTGTTGTTATTTGGCAGTGGTATTTATAACAATAACTTTTTTGAATCTTGAATTTTTTTTCGGATCGTGCCTAGTTTTACAGAAAAAAAGTTCACTTACTGCATATCCCTAGACCACACAAGGAATATGCTGAGAAGTTTCTTTGGAAATAATTTTTTTTTTATTGTAGCAAGTCCTCCGAAAACTCACCCAGAACTATTGTTGTAACGCAAGGAGGACTTTGACGTTTTCGGGACGATGGACGAGGGTGACGTGTCTGGTACATTAAAAAAAATGCTCGCTTGTCGTTTAACAGGGCTGGACGTTCTTTTGGGAACGCTTGTTGCTGGTTTTGTTACAGGAGCTTTCAGACTATTGTGGTAGTAAACAACTTACCTGTTATTGCTGTTAAGACAATTTCAGAGGCTCATGTTGTTGAATGATCCAACCACGCTTCATTCAAAGTCTTGGGCATAGAGGTGCATTATACATACTTGCAACTATTTCAGATTTTCATCGACTTAGGGCCGATTTCACCAACATTAATATTATGGACCAATAGGAAAATACCTTTTCGAAATGCAATTTGACGGAAGCTGTCAAAGGTCTCAGAATATCAGTGATTTCTATTAAAATGTTGAATAAAATCATGAAAATTCGACTGTATTATAAACAAGACCACTTTTTGATTCCAACATGATGCTTTTGTACAGAGAAAACAGGACAACTTTCATGTATTTTGATTTATGTTATAGGTGTACATTTGACCATCCGTTATCCCTCAGCGAATGGGAATGGGAGAAATAATAGGTCGATTTTCTAGCTGTTAAATTTGGCAGCAGGTTTGGTCGTTTGTTGATTCATGGCAAACTCGAAATTGGTTAAGTTCAATATACTGTGTGTATGTGTGATCATTATTGCTACACATACCTGTTGAATTGTGCGGATTTGCAAGAAAATAGAATTTAAAATGTGTTTCAACCAATTCCTCATCTCTCTTATATCATAATAGTAATCATTTGTTATAAATTCATGGGTTAATGAATTTCAACGCAATCAAAACAGTATTGTCGTCCCCATCCTAAAACTGCCACATAACGATTGTCACCTTGACATCATTCTGCAATCTGTCAAAGTAGTGATGGGCGTGCCTGCTGCACGGTATCGATATTCGATAAAATATTTTTCTTTCTACCATGAATGCGTGGAAAAAAACAAAATAAGGAGAGATCTAAAATAAGGAGTTATTGAAAGCCTAAAATAGCCAGGCGCTAATAATTCCTGGCCGTATTTGAATATCTAAGCAGGCACAGTAAAACAAAAATAAGACTTGGAATAAATTAATAAAGTTTATTTCGACAGTTGGCAGAGTTTGCTCCACTGGGACGAAGTGTTGACGGATCCCACAGAATTATGTGTCACTTGTCGATATGGTTAGATTTAAAATATCAGGAGATAATCAGCTGTTATTCAAATCAGTGTATGTGTTTTGTGATTCAAATAACGTCTAATATAAATATAACCCAGAATATGTACTCAGTGAAAAAAGAAAAATATTGCGAATTTCTAGTTTTTCTGCAGGTTTTAGATTTGCTGGTAGCTCTACGACATATATTTGGGTATTTCTTAATCGCTGTGAATATAGTGTGGATGTTTGTTAAGTTCCTGAACAACGAAAAATATTCAACTTTATGGATGTATAGATATCAAAAAACCTGAATGGTTTTGTGAGAATATCAATCCAAGGTGCCATAATGGTTCTGATGGGCGGCAAGTAAATGAATGAATGTTTGGAACGAGCAGTATCTATGAACTTTTTGGTAGAGCCAGTCATCAAGTAGGTGCTTAATGGCTATCTGCAAGGGGTTTATAGGAAAAAACACCCAGTAGATGATCTTGAATCAGTAAAATCGCATATCAATTGAAGAAAATAATATAAACATGAATAAAAAATCAACAATAGTAAATCATGAAATTTATTCTAAAATCAAACATTTGTTTAAATTTTGACTGAATTATATGTAATTTCTTAATATTCAATAAGCCGATGATGTTTCAATGACAAGATGTCATCTCATACTTTGACAGTATTTGTTTTCAACTTTTCATAGCTATTGGTTGCTAAAATTTGTTGATTGGAACTTGAAGCTCATTCGCAGTATTTGACGGGCTGTTACCCTATAGGTGGAGAATAACGGACTGTTGTTGGTTAAATTGGCCCTTAGTCTAATAATATTAGCAAATTTCCCCGAAATAATTGTAAAGTCTGGATTTATTGGTCCAGGTTGTTCAAGGGGGTATTTAAAACATGGACGCATAAAATGGGTACACCAATGTTTGTGGGAAAACTTTTTATTTGACAACAAGTAATGAGAAAACGTGTTTTTTGGGATTCAATCGAAAGTGTTGATAGGAACGAATAAAGTCTTCTCACAAAAATTGGTGTACCATTTTCTGCGTCCGTGTTTTGAATACCCCCTTGAACAATTTGCAGCAATAAAACCAGACTTTACGGTTACTTCGCAAACCAGGGTATTTTCCCAGCTCAAATTGATAACTGTAGGCCTATCTCGTAGTCTTATAATTTTGCAAAGTTATTGAAATGATTCTTTTCATGTTCATTTTTTGTCGCAACGGGTGAAACTTCGTCGATCGATCAGCATTAAATTGATCTTGCATGATTGTTTAACTTTTATCTGTTCAATAGGAGTCAATAAGTTGTTCACCACGTATAAGGCCTACTTCGCGGAATTCTCCAAGGCTCAAATCTAGGACCTTTACTCTCTCCGTTAGAGCCGTTTTACACACAAGAGAATTACTCCGAAAATTATGGTCATAATTATGCCGAAAATTTTTGCTGTCGTATTACACGTAAAAGAATTCTTGTGAAAATTTTCATGGTAAAAATATAAAACCCGTTCTATATTATATGCGCGAGAATCGGCGCAGAGGGTTATTTCCGTGCATGTCAATATCAAATGTCAACGACAACAACAACAACATAACCTCACTTAACATTTGTGGGAGTGGTCCTGTTCGAGTCGTACGCAGGAGCGTTTATTGTTATTGTTTATTCATAATGTCGTGGAATCGGGAAGAATTTACAATGTTGTTGGAGGAGTACCAAAAATGGCCAAACCTGTACAAGGTGAAGTCACCCAATTACAAAAACAGAAATTTGCGGCGTCAGGCGCTGGATGCGATAGTCCAAGCATTGAGAAGTTTTATAATATTAACCAAGATCTCGATTTCAAAAATAAATTTAAATTATCGACGTCTGTTGTCTTTCCGATTATATTGGACGTCATACCCGTTAAGGTTATGTCCATTTGAAAATATAACTCTAATGCGCAGGCATATCATATGAATTACTCCGAAATTTTGTTTGCTTGTGTCATACAGGTTGTAGAGAAAATCTTCAATTTTTTTTCCATGCAAATTTTCAGCATAATTAAGACCATAATTTTCGGAGTAATTCTCTTGTGTGTAAAACGGCTCTTACACATAAAAGTTTTTATCCAAATACAATAAATAATTCTGGGTGTTGCATTTTATATGTCAGTATAATGACAATATCTTGATGGGCCCAAGCCAATCATATCAACTGAAATGCTGACAAGTACAAGTTATTTTGAAGGTGACAACATGGAATTGGAATTATGGGTGATTAAAAAAATACCTACCTACCTAGTTTGAAATCCCTCCACAGAAATGAAAATACGTTGTCGTACATTCAAGATTTATTCTAATGTGTATACAATAAACTGCAAAATGTAAGTTGCAACTATTTTTCCGAACACTTCGCGTAGTGGCGCTTCATCCAAGTTTTGCCTTTGGCAGCACATCCACATTTTCGACACCGGTACCCTTTCTTTTTTGAGTACGTATACCCATGACATTTATAAATGTGTTGATACAGATTTATTCTCATGTCACATTTAAATCTGCAGCCATAACATTCAAACAATCTTACAGGCATGCACTTATGTTTTTTCAGAACGGCTTTCGAGACCGTAGCAAAATGGCATTCCTCACATTTGTACTTCATCATTTCCTGAATGGAAGTTTGCAGATGACGCGCTATGTGTCTACTCAACTCGTCCACAGAGGGCGCTTTGTAGTCGCATCCCTGTTGCTTGCAAGGTATTCCTTCGTCTGGTAAGATGGCTGGTCGAGGTTCCGTACGATGCTTCCGATTTATATGCTCATTGAAGTACCGCCAAGATCCTGACTCGTAACTGCAGATCTCACACTGCATCTTTTTCTTTGGAACTCCTCTATGAACGTGTTCAAAATGCGAAACAGCATAATGCCTGCTCTTCCCACTATAAGAGCATTGTTGACAGTACCATCTCCTTTGTGCCTGATCGTAGGTTAGACCTCGTTCTTGCTTACTTTGACGTTGTTCATTGCTTGAACAAGCTGCATCCACCGCAAATATATCTTCAACAGTTTCGATCTCTGGAGAATCTGTATCTTCAATGTGGATTTCATCTTTAACAAGAGGCTGGTGAATATCGTATATATCTTCATTCGAAGTACATGTAAGAGAAATTTCATCTAATTCTATGACCTCTTCTTTGGCTTCAACATTTGCAACTTCCTCCTCTTCTGAAGCAACCTCAAATTCTTTAGGCTGTATATTATGAGGGTCTTTTTGTAAATCCTCTGCATGATGAATATTCTTAAATTCTTCAATAGGCTGTTGTATATTATCTGGATCTTCTTTTTTTCACATTTGATAGAGCGATATCATCAGATCCTTCATTAGCTTGTTCTATTTCCTCTAATTCTATGACTTCGTCCTCGACTTCACCCTCTTTAAGATATGCGTCTTCTTCTTCGGAGGTCAGCTCAAATTGTATATTAGCTGGGTCTTTTTGTAAATCTTCTGCATGAGGAATATTCTCAAATTCTTCAATAGGCTGTTGTATATTATCTGGATCTTCTTCTTTCACAGCATTTGATAGAGCAATATCATCAGATCCTTCATTAGCTTGTTCTATTTCCTCTAATTCTATGACTTCGTCCTCGACTTCACCCTCTTTAAGATATGCGTCTTCTTCTTCGGAGGTCAGCTCAAATTGTATATTAGCTGGGTCTTTTTGTAAATCTTCTGCATGAGGAATATTCTCAAATTCTTCAATAGGCTGTTGTATATTATCTGGATCTTCTTCTTTCACAGCATTTGATAGAGCAATATCATCAGATCCTTCATTCGCTTGTTCTATTTCCTCTAATTCTATGACTTCGTCCTCGACTTCACCCTCTTCAAGATATGCGTCTTCTTCTTCGGAAATCAGCTCAAATTGTATATTAGCTGGGGTTTTTTGTAAATCTTCTGCATGAGGAATAAACTCAAATTCTTCAATTTCGTTTATTATCGAGTTTTCTTCTTCCAATTCCGTCAAGTGTTGACTAACCATATGTCTCCGGATGACGTATTTTGATTTTGAGCTATACTTGCATAGTGAGCAAAACAACATTTTTCGTTCGAACTTTGACTCTGCAACAGGCCTCACAGAAGCTATCAGCGGTGGGTGATTCCCTTCCATGTGTGCTTTTATGAACATAGCCTTTAATAGTTGACCACAAATATCGCATCTGTACATTGAATTATGGTGTTTGGTAAGAATGTGTTTTTCCATGTACTCCTTACGAACTGTGGAAAAAGTACAAACAGAGCAACGCCTTATCTGCTTTGCGCCACTTGTAGAAGCTTCAGTGTCTTCATTATTTTGGTTTGAGGCACATACGTTAAGGTCTGTCTTTCTTTTATCCACCTTTTTCTTTTGAGTTAATGTACACTCTCGAGGGTCTCTATCTGTTGTATCCAAGTTATTTGTTATCTCTCCATATCGAAAGCCTTCAATTTGCAACCCACTCAGATGGCTCTGACTTAGATGAGCCATCATTGTGTATCGGACTTCGTCCTTATATGGACAATATGGACACTTTGTCCAACTGTCAGACTCACTATGCCTTCACCGTTTGTATCTTTCTCGTTATCATCTTTTAACAATGTTTTGGAACTGTAACACTGACTGCATCTCACGTTACGCAGACCGCCTCTTTCATGCAGTGCTCTGTGTTTATCGCGATGTATTTGTTGTCCGAACTTGCAGTCGCAAAAATCACACTCGTACCGTCGATTGTCATACCCTAACACACCTTCGGCTGGTGAGCAACTATGATATATTTCGTAGTGGTCTTTTAGGGCATTTTCGTTGCCCGTCTTAAACGTGCATATTTTGCATTCCAGAAACGCCCATAAATGGGCCAATTGGTGAGATTTCAAGACAAACAGATCCTTGTTAAGAAAGTACATTCTTTGCATTTAAAAACTGCGACTGCGACCTTGTCGTGACTGAACGAGTGTTTTTCAATAGGAACCAATGATGTGCTTTGAAGTCGCATTTCTGACAACCCCAAGGAATTAACACGTGGTCGTCCACAAAAGTCGCTTGGTGGATTCAAGATCGCAGTCATTGCATTTGAAGATGGTATGTGTTTGACAGTGGGCTTCAAATTCATCTTTCGTGTATGCTACATAACAAAAAGGGCATACGCAACTTTGGCAGTCAAATTCAAGCTTTTCTTCTAGTTCACATTTTTCTTTCTGGGCCTTGATATACTTACCAACGGAATCACTCTTCTTCTTATTGGTTCTTCGTAAGTCATGTTCATGTTATGAACCATTAACAAATGTTTTTCAAACTTATTCATATCCTTAAAAATACGAGGGCATTCTGAGCAATGATGCCTATGCTCCTCTAAATCATCTTCAGATATTGGTATTGCCTCTTCATACTCTACTTGTTCTGCTTTAGGTTGATCTTCGGCTTCAGCATATTCCGGGGTTAATAATTTTACCACTGTTTCGTCAGTACTTTCGTATCTAAAACCTTCGAGTTCCAAGTCGGCTGAATGTTCCAACTGTATATGCTCATGTATATTTATAAATTTGTGGTTGCAGTAAGGACACTGGATCCTCTTGGAAGTTGTACAGCATTTAAAGGCAGTATTTTCCTTAAAATGACATTTTTCGTGCAACTCTTTAGAATCTGGATTTATGAATATGCACGTGCAATACTTGCATTTGTGCAGTTTGCCTATAGCTTCAAGTGTGCGATTATGGGAACTTTTGTAATGGTTATCGAGATCTTCTAAGCTTCTTCCATCGAAATTGCACATCTTACACAGCATAAACTCCCCGCAATGAACCATTAGGTGTTTTTTAAGCAAACGATTATCCCCAGTTTTGAACCCACAAAACCCACATTCGATGATCGAATCCGGTGGGTAGCGATGCATATTGATGTGCTTCTTGTACGGGATCCAATGGTATGTTTTTGAAATCACACGACACACATTCAAAGGGAGTTTCAAGATGGTTTTGCACAAAGAAAATGTTTCGTCGATTGCAAATCACATTTGAGGCACTGGTATGTGAAGTGCTTACTGCTGTGTACGTCAAAATCCTCACTTGAGTACGTCACATAGTAGCAGAAGGCGCAACGGTATCTGAACAAATGTTGCGATGCAATGTGTACCAGGATGTCGTTTATATTCCTTCCTACATGGAAACAGTCTGAAATTTGGCAAACGTATTCACCGTTTTTGTCTATATATGTCCGGGTCTCATGGCTCAACCAGTGATTTGTGAAGTCAAGCGGATCTGCAGAGATGAAATTACACGTGGTGCATATGAAATCTCTTATGCGACTTTTATTAGATTTTACATTTGTTACACTTTGTGTATTGTCATCATTCCTGAAACAGAAAAAACTAAATCAGACAGGCTACTAAAGAACAGACAAATATCAAAATCGTAAAATTGAAATTTGGAGTGACTGTTTGCTTTTTCTCTTAATACCGCAAAGTTGGGGTTGTCCTTTTCAGAAACAACTACCCTTGAAATAACAAAAGTAATGTGTAGTGAAACGAGGGCGACCAAGTAAAAAAATAAAGGAAAAAGTACTCACTCTCCAGTTGACGAGAAGGGCTAAGTACGTCTCTGCCCGAAATCATACCGCTCCAACAGAAAATGAAATCAGCTGATGCGCTACCGAGCAGACGCAGGCGGTGGTGCAGACCACGAACAGAGGGTAACAAATATGACGGCGTTGCCGCGTTTTCAGTTTTTAGGTAAACGTACTTTATAGGTATTGTTCGAAGTTATCGCCGTTTGATTCAAAAACACAGGTGCGTGCACGACGTAGCCAAGCATCGGTGCAGGCTTTGAGAATGGAGTCCCTCCCCGAATGAAAGCACCAGCTTGTTCAATTCTGAGACGAAGTTCGTCAATCGTATGCACTTCAGTTTTGTACACTAAGCGTTTCATTTCTCCCCAAAGAAAAAATCACAAGGTGTTAAGTCTAGAGATCGCGGAGGCCACGCTACGGGTCCATTACGTCAGATCCACCTATTCGGAAATAATTCATTCAAAAACTCACGCACTTCGCGTCTAAAATGGGGCGGTGCACCATCGTGCAGAAACCACATTGATTGTCTTACACTTAATGGCACATCTTCTAACAAGGAAGGCAAAATGTTGCGTAAAAAGTCTAGGTATTGCATCCCGTCCAATCGATTTGGGAGAATAAATGGTCCAATGAGCATACTGTTCACCATGCCAGCCCAAACATTCACCAAAAATGTTTGTTGAAAATGTGCCCGACGGACAGCGTGCGGATTTCTACTGACCAAACATGAGTGTTGCGAAAGTTATTCACCCCATTACGCGTGAACGTAGATTCGTCTGTCACCAACATGCACTTCAAAAAGTCCGGATTATTGTCATGTTGATGCAACAACCACTCACAAAACCGCACTCTTGCTGGAAAATCGTCAGGTTGAAGGGCTTGTACACGTTGGACGTGAAACGGATACAGCCCCTCTTCACGCAGCGTTTGCCACACTTTAGTTTTTGATACTTGCACTTCTCTAGCCACGACTCTAGTGCTTGTTGAGGGATTCTCGTCTACGCGATTCAGTAGTTTCAGTTCTGTCGTCGGGTTGAGCCAGTGACCTTGTACCACTCGGTGATGTCGCGGGGTCGCGGCTACAGGACGGTATTCAGATATTTTTGATGTTGCAGAGCCCTTTATCTCGGTTCCCTTAAGACATTGGTGTATATGGTACTAAGAAAAATTGCTTATGTTTTCAAGATCTACACGTCGTGTAAAGGAAAACCCCAACTTTGCGGACACCCTGTATATTTGTTGCCAATAATGCATCGACATTTTCAAACAATAACAGCACTGCCCGAAAACATCGCTATCTGAATGTTATCAGAAGTAAACATAACGATGGATACAGGGTGGCCCAACGAAAAGGTCGCTCCCCCTTTTATGACTATCATGTTATATATTGGGAAAAGCGCTCGGTCACGTCAATTTTGATTTCAAGGGGGACATCTTTTAATCTATAGCCGTACAATACAGGGTGATCCAAAAATAAGATATTACGTTACACTTTAGATATTTAAATGGAACCCCTCTTTTTTCAATTTCTAGATTTTTCATGAAGTTTTTGTAATTTTTATGTAATAAAGTTTACACCTCTCTTCAATCATTGTGAAGCTGTTTGAGTTTATAATAAAATGGACAAGTTTACCATTTTTTCTTATTAGCTCAAATGAAATTTTAATAAAGTTTTTAGTAATTTTTATGTAATAAAGTTTACACCTATCTTCAATCGTTGTGAAGCTATTTGAGTTTATAATAAAATGGAAAAGTTTACAATTTTTTTCTTATTAGCTCAAATGTAGTTTTAATAAAGTTTTCAGTAATTTTTATGTAATAAAGTTTACACCTATCTTCAATCGTTGTGAAGCTATTTGAGTTTATAATAAAATGGAAAGTTTACAATTTTTTTCTTATTAGCTCAAATGAAATTTTGATAAAAATTAAACAAGATGGTTGAAAAATTATTAATTTATCCCTAAAAACAAGAAAGTTACAGCCTATCAAAGTTGCGCCCCGCGAGAATATTTTTATTCCGTCTGAACGCGACGCGTGACGTCACACTTCGCTATTCAGTTGCCACGGCCATGGCCAACTCAATTTCCTAAACACACAAATACACATACTGCTTTAACACGTGGTAGGCTAAACGTCTTCCGCGCCAATTTGTTAATCAGTTGACTGTATATACGATTTATGAGCGAAATAACAAAAAAAAGGTTGTTAGTACTGTATTGTTCCAAAATGTACGAGCACAATTACAACCCCTATTAAACATTTTTTTCTACGTACCCTCTCATGAAAATATCAGGAAGAAATGGTAAAAACTTATGAAGCGAGATTTGATTGGAATAAAAAGTACAACATATGTCTGTGAAGACCACTTTGATATAAGTATATCACTTTACTATTTATTTATGATTATTAGTTATTATACAGGGTGTTCCTTAATGATATGCGAATATTTAAGGGTGTGAATCTACATGAAAAGTTAATGATAGTTTGCTTAATGAAATGTCTCCTTACAAAAACTGAAGTTGAAGTTTTAGGAAAAAATGGAAATTAATTAATATTTTCAGAACTGCTTCAGATATTTCATTGACATTTAGTACGTAGTGAAAGTTAATAAAGTTGAATATTTTTCAATGCAAAAATAATTTTTAGGTTTACCAGTGGCGTTATACGACTTTGTAATCATTTCGTTGTCAGTTGTTGTTGTTCATTACCCTTAGTGTGCTTAATTTTTCCAATTAACTTAATAATAATTTTGCAAGTTAGACAATAGAACGGCTTTTATTTTTTTTTACTCAAAAATGGCGCATCGAAGGAAAATAATTCAAGAGAGATCATTTGTTTTAATTTTTATTTGGCAAAAAACCATTGGCGTATCATTTTTCTTAAAAAATATCGAAGTCTGAAAATATTAATTACTTTCCTAAAACTTCAACACCCCTAGTTTTTGTAAGGAAACATTTTTGGACCACAGTTTATAAAGCAAACTAACATTAATTTTCATGTAGATTCACACCCTTTAATATTCGCATATCATTAAGGAACACCCTGTATAATTTCCAAGCTCATTTCACTGTGCACGCGGCATTTGGCGGGGAAATATTTATCAACTAATATTATAGGTGACCTATTTCAACTCAGCGAGAGTAGCTGTGAGCTACTATAGTCTGACTTACCCCCTAAAAAAGCGTCAAGTAGGTTGACTCTGCACTGCATTATGTGCAATGTTGTTATATATTTTTTTTAGTGAGATTTTAGAAAATTACGTTACTTCAAATTTCGACTTCGAATGCGTTTTAGTTATTTCAGATTGAGAATGATACTGAAAATCTTTTAAAATATAAATTAGCGGTGGAAGATTGAAGATGCAAGTCTGAGTAAACCCTCGTAACTCTAAGTTTGACTGCCAAAAAAGTGTGCGGCGCGGCGTTTGAAGAATGCGGATCATATGAGAAAAGAACGATGTTCCCTCCACCTCAAGTCGGCAACCATTCGAATTCATTCAGTGTGACTCAACTTACAAACAATCGAAAGCATTAGAAGATCCACTGCTTGAAGATTATACACTGTATCTGTAGCAAAAAAAGCGAATATTGCATTTCTATGCTTGTATCTGTAAAGTAAGCCATTACTTGGGTCTTATTAAGTTGTCTTCGTTTACATTCATTAATGAGTCTTTCGAAAAAGTTAGGATCCTGTACTAGATCTAAATTTGAAGAACTTCCACTTTCGTTATTGAAATCTTTCGCTTTAATAAATATAATACTACTGCCAACTTGAGATGGCGCCGGTTTCATCCAGTAACATTCTACTGAAGTACTTGCAGGTCCTTCACTTATTTTCAAAAGCCAGATCAAAAACGTTATTGTGTGTATCTACCAAGCTCAGCAGCACAATTGTGTCACACCACACCATTTTTTTTTCCTAACATTGGTCTCAGACCAAGGCGTAGTTTTCACTTTATGTGCAGGTGTAAACTCTGCATTTTATAGTTCGAACAGCCTAAGGTTATGCCCGCTACGTCATCACTTTATACCCTCTCCCTTGCGTGGATTGTACCCTATAAGAATATAGAAAATTGTTGTGACAGTCTCTGGTAAGATTTATGGACATCTGTTACCGCCCTCTTAATGTGGTCCAGTACTAATCGTGGCGAATATTTATATCGTAGAAAGCTTAAAAATGTATGTGGTCTTCAATGTCCAGAAATTATGTTGCTGTTGACGCTGTTAAGGGACATCCCACTCTCAGAAAGCCATAGGCGGAACGTTTTTTAGTGCAAGTTTCAGTCAGTTGAGATTGTTGACACAATTGGGATCTGATGAGACGTTTCTTCGACTTATTTATTTTTTTATTTATTAACCATATCATATTTTATATTTGATTGTGTTGAAAATTATTAATCTTATGGGGTTTGTGGATATTTGATGGAGATCCATAAATCAAAATTTAAAATAGTGAACAGGTACCTACATATAATAGACACAATATTGAAGGGTAAAACCCCAAAGTTGGCAAACAACTGAAAGAAATTAAATTAATCCTAAGACTGTGATCCGCTTATATCTATACCAATCATGAGATTTCCTAGAGTGCATCATTAGTACCTAGATAAATAGGCTAATACCAATATCAAGCGTAGGTAAACAAAATTAGTAGAACAAATCTAATAATAACAAGTGTAAAATTGAACTACCTGGAATAATTCCCGGTTGCTAAATCCCTTCGTTCGTAAGTAGCGTTAAGAGGATGAGTGTTAATCAATCACATTTATTTTACCTGCAACAGATATATAAACCTGTCCGTTAGTCATAAGTTCAGTTTGTAAACTAATTTGAACAAGGCACCGTGTGTAAAAATTGTCAAATAGATTGCAATATAGTGGAAATTTTTACTATTGATCAAATTTAAATTATTAATAGTTTTGAACCAGTGATCTAAACAATGTCTGTGAAAGAGATTGGCGTGAAAGGAAAGGCGATTGGGAGTCAAGGAAAGGAAATTATCAACAATGTCAATAATTTCATGGTACAGGAAAGTGTAGAGGGATTAAAGTTTCCACTTCAACAATACCGGTATGTATGAATGTAAAAGATTTTTATAATTATTGTCAATTAAAACTGATTAACCCATTTAGGAAACGTGTGTTAGCTGCCACGGGTATAAGTAAATGTACTTATCAAAAAATAGCTAAAGAGAGCAGAGATGGAATATATTCAAGCAACTTTTCATTTTCATCCCCATCTAAAAGCGGCAACGAAAATCACCTGTTGTGGATAAAGTGACTGCAGGCCAAATTGAAGAAATCAAAGCAATCATATACGATTTTTATATTTTGGAGAAAGAAGACCTTCGCTGAAATGTAAGTTTTAAAATTGTAACCGTAGCATCTAGTCATATTTCATTTTAAGATTTTTTTAGGTATTTACCAAAAAATGCAAGATCGACAACTTAATTTGAGGGTAAAATAACGACTTTGAACAAACTTTTGAAACAAATGGGCTTTAGGTCAGTATTCATACACACTATAAGGTTTTCGATTTACAACGCTATAAATATAATTTATATCTACAGATGGAAAAGAACTACTGATAATAAAAGAGCTCTCATGGAAAAATATGAAATTCGCTTGAAGCGAATCGAATATCTGAAGCAAATTATGAAATATAGAGCTGAGAACAGGAACATAATTTATACGGATGAAACATATATACATTCTAGTCATACCCCAAAAAAAGGATGGTCAGATGACAATTATGACAAGGAACTAAAAACGCCTTTATCAAAAGGACAACGAATGATTATTGTGCATGCTGGTGGAGAATTCGGCTTTATTCCTAACGCCTTGTTGATATTCAAATCAGGTATTATTTGTGTTACAATGATGTAAAATATTTCCAATATATTTTTACATTTACTGGATTATATGTATGTATTTTATTTTCAGGCTCAAAATCTGGGGACTACCACAACGACATGAATCATTTGAACTTCATGAAATGGGTTAGAAAGCCAATTGATCCCAAATTTGCCTGAAAATTCTGTGCTTGTAGTTGACAACGCTTCTTATCACAATGTCCTGGAAGAAAAAATGTAACGTCTTCTAGCCTGAAATCAGAGATGATTGACTGGCTAGAAAAACATCAAATTCCTAGTGAAAAGTCATTGACTAAGGCCGAACTATATAAAAAAATACAGGAAAATAAAAGAAGATTTCCAGTCAAATACAAGCTAGATGCCTTAATGGAACAGCACGGGCATAAAGTTTTACGACTGCCTCCATATCATCCGGAGCTAAACCCAATCGAGAAGATTTGGGCTCTCGTAAAAAACTGGGTTGCTCCACGAAATGTGACATTTAGGTTGTCTGATGTGGAGCATCTGACCCGTAGCAGGTTTGAAGAAATTGGAGCAGATGAGTGGAAGAAAATTTGTAACCACGTGAAAAAATATGAGCAAGCACAAATGGAAAAAGAACATCTTCTCGACGATCAAATGGATACGTATCAATTCAATGTGAACACAGAGTCATCATCAGAAGATAGTGACGAAAGCGACTCAGATGAAGATTTGAAGCTAAACACACTATCATCTGATAGCGATTAGATTTTTTAATGATAATATATAATTTGAATTATAACCGTCTTTAGTTTGCTCCCTCTTCTAATTCAAATTTGCTTCCGAACAACTTAATGCGCATACTAAATGAATATAATAATACAAAAATCAATTAATGATCAATGTCTACACAACCTATTCACTTTATTTTATACTTCAAATAAAATAGAACGCCACTGCGCTCTGTCGACGACCGCGTGATGAGCGGACCCGCCCACGATGACGTAGCGGTCATATACTAAGAGCGTTCGAACCATACAATGCATCTAGTACCTTCACGTTTCAACTGAAGATAAACTCTTTATTATTGCATGGTGGTAAGTGGACACTTTCAGCACTTAATACCACATTGACCTACCTCTAAGATAGGTATAAACTTTATTATACAGAAGGTACTACGAAGAATCAAAAAATGAGGAAAAAATGAGGCTTTCTATTTAAAAAGCTAAAGTGTAACACAATATCTTATTTTGGATCACCCTGTATTGTACGGCTATAGATAGAAATACAACCCCCTACAAGTCAAAATTTACAAATAGGGGTGCGACCTTATCGTTGGGCCACCTTGTATAAAAATAAAATATCAATTACCTCTACATCGTACCTTGTAGGTAAATTCTAATAATACTGAAGTACCAAGTTCGCAAAATATGAATTTAAATATGTTTATAAAACTCGAATTCTAGTTCGCCTATTCTATCGCCTAGTTAAAATGCTATTATTTTCATAAAAAAAAAAATTTCAAATAGAATTTTAAAACAGCCCATATCGGTTTTTAATACCGAAACTGGATTTGGCTCTAAAGATATCATTAAAAATCGATATATGTCAACCTGTGTTACTAGCTAGTCGCACTCGCTGTGAACGCCACCTATTGAGGATTGCAACAACGACCTATGGAATAGAATTTACAGATTACTCGTAAGCCACAGAAACTATAAATGGCCCTCCGCTACTAGTGCCATCTCTGAAGCAGAAGTTACACATCAGAGCCAAACCATACAGCTCAAGTTTAATGACGTTTTGGCAGCACGCGCAGCTAGTACAACTGAAGATGAATGAATACGCATCAGTACTCAATCCAGGCACTGGCCGCGTAAATAAAACCCATACTCACCGGTTCTAAAAAACAAAATTGCAGACTCATATAGCAATATCGGGTTGTCCACATTATTTCAATTTACGGTGAGTATTTAATGTGAACAGTGTATAAAATTGAACACGGTGATAACAACTTTGAACAATGCAATCTGAATACAATTTGTAGATGATTAAGTCGAATGGAACTTACATTCTTCTCGGTTAGCATCTATTTTTATTCATATATTGTGTTGCTTCCATCGGTGTCTGTTCTATTTCATATTTTATGAGCAATTGGCTGCCTCTAATTCTATATCTTTATCACATGGTTCAACTGACATCTCTTCAAAAATGTCATGTCCTTCGTTTGTTTTTTCTATTGGCTCCAATAAATCTGGATCCGGTTTTATTCTTTTGTTGCCGTAACTCATCTTACCGAACTCTCTGCAAGAAGTGATGAAAATTCACTATTGAAAGTATGTTTCGTTTAGCAAAGCTGAATGTGTTATTTTCTTAAGTGTATCCTAAATATTTAATCAAAATCGATACTACAGATACTAATGTTACGCTGTAGCAGAAAGGCCATTATGCAGAGAAACGATTGTTCAACAGAAGGAAGTGAATAACACAGATTTTGATCAGGACGTGGCAACATTGCTGTCCGAGAAGTTGGCAGCATTTAGCCGCCGCGCCGGCAAATGCGCGTTTCGCGCCGACCTCGATTGTTCGCTTGCACTGTTGCCACGTTTTCGTGTTACTCCGTAGTTAAGGGAATCGTATGACGGTTGACTCTAAAAACTATTCAAACCTCATTTTACTCCGCCTCATAACAAACATATCGCTATTCTCTTGTCGCTGCTTGCCTAGGCATTTATGGCCCGTCGGCCAGTGGGAGCGCTGGAGTTTGTATATCGCTCGCTGACGCGGTGTAAATGAAGTTTGGATATGCTTCAAGGTCACGTTAAAGTAACTAACCGACTGGCAAATTTCAACGTTTTCAACTGCTGGAAACGGATCAACATCTTCAGAAACTAAAATTTTAGAGGCTAGTATCTTCACGCTTCATTTTTTCAACTGAAATCTTGTATTTTATAGGTATATTATTTGACAAAAGAAGTAGCAGATAGATAATGGAATGTTTTTTTTTTTTGATAGGGGAATGAATGCTCTACCGGAGGTGTGAGATTCTCCAGAAATGCGGTATACTTACTAAAACCCGTCAGTCGTTCGTTATACCTTCTATCACGGTAATGCTAGCAGCATTTCGTCATAGTGGGTAGCGTTGCGTTTTCATACCAAAGATATATACCACATTGACCCCGCCTTCTGACTTTTTGAAATGACTTTTTAGAAAAAAAACAACGTTGATATGGCTTTTTAGAAAAAATAGTTATATACAAAAGTTATATAGGGTCAAATACAAAGTTTTTTACACAAGATTATTTTGAATGAACCACCCTAAATATTTTATTGGAAATGATATTCGCTTTTGTCTTATTTCAAATACTTAGGTTTATTATCCTTATTTTCACCACTTCAGTTAAAAGCTTAAATTTTATGTGTCATTGTCGCTTCGCATCATTTGTGTCTTTGAAGTTCCCAGAATGTTCAAGCAGTCAAAAACTTTCGGGGTGTTAACATTCTGAGAGAAAAAAGCAATCGCAACTGTCTGATACCTACGAGCATAGTAGGAAATTTTAGGGGGCACAAACATTTTGACATCAAAGATATTTACTATTTTAAGTTGCAAATACCATTGATGATGCTCACATTATTTTGAACTCAAAATGTCAAATCCGTTTATATTATCATCATTTTCACACCTTGCGAATATTTAACACCCGACAATCTGACAAATTCTTAACTATAAATAACCCCCTGTATACTGGCAACTGTACTAAACTGTTTGTGCTTGTTCCTAATCCACGTTCAAGTGTATAAAAAATTTCAGTAAGTTTAATCTTCCGATAAAAACGTGGCAACGTCGGAAATCCACGAATAAAACCAATGGATCACCTACATGGAACGACAGCATCTTAAAATCGTTCTTAATGTCCGTCTAAGACACATGGGAGCCTCAACTACATGTTAACATTGCGCTGTATGTTGATATCAATTATTTTTACCTGGTTATATTAACACAAGACACTCGACTCCGTTCATTACGTTCTATCGAATCACTCAGTGCACTGACAGCGATGCTGACAAATTGACAGTAGGGTAGGGATGGCGATTTAGCGACGTTGTCAGACTGACTTGTTTTGTTCGTGTAATAGTCCAGTCGATGTGGATTCAAAACTAACTTGAGTTTGTTGCTGAAAATATATGAAATTCAAGCGCAACTCCTTATATCAAGATTCTGTCGTCAACTGAGACGGCAACTTTGCCAATGGAAAAATCATTATTTTACATAACGAAGAGTATTTTACTTTGAGTAATTCTGGAATGAAGGGAAACGACGGTTTTTATATGGACAACGTAGAGGAATGTCCTGACAATGTTAGATACAAACATAAAGCGATATTTGCAGATAAAATCCTTGTCTGGTGCGCAATTTCTAACAGGGGTGTATCCCAATCTTTTGTGGAAAGGGTGAGGGTGAAGCTTGGAATAGTCTGAGCTAACTAACATCGAATACAACACCCAAATATTTGAACGTTTCTGTTCGTTCGAGTAAGTGATCATTGATACTAAAATCATAATGTATTACATTTTGCTTCCTGCTAAAAGACAGAACTTTACACTTTGATACATTAGTCGTAAGAGAGTTTCTGGAACACCAAGAATGCACCAAGTTCAAGCTGTTTTGAATAGAGATACAGTCGTGATAGCTCCGAATACCAGTATAAATTTTTAAGTCATCAGGATAATGTAAATGCATACCAGGCAATTCCAGCGACAGATCATTGATAAACAACACAAAAAACAAGGGACCCAAATTGGATCCTTGGGGCACTCCAGATGTTGCTGTATAGAATTAGATTTAAAACCACCAAACTCAACATAAATATGATCTGATAAACTTCAATAAATATTTGCCATTAATCAAGAGGTACCCAAAACTGCCTTCGACAACACAACATACCTTTTGTTCCCAAAAACGATCTGAATTCCGTCCAGGACCTCATGAGACACATTTGACGAAAGTTGCGACTGGTAGTGCAGAATCGGCCACTCCACATACTTCGATAGTATAGTTTAGTTAAGTATTGAGTTATGATAACTAGTTAATGTTCATATAAACTTCTTCATTAAAAAAAATCCGATAAACATTTAGTGCCAACACTTTTAGGGCAAATTTTATCTGCGGAAATGGGAAGGTAGGGGATGAATCGGGCATGCAAAACCAGCCATCAGCTTACGGAAACCGTGCGTTAGTGATAATTGGTGGTCAATAGTAATGTTTGCACGGAAACGCTATCGTTGGACTGAAATTGTTAGTTTGATCGTGATTTCGTATGCTAATAGAGCTGCAGTGGAAATTTCGATAATTGAGTTATACTCGTATAGGCAAGGCAAAATTACGCATTCATGGAGATTTTTTCCAACTTGATTTTACTTCCCACGACACTGGCGAAGAAGTACTGCATTTTCGTAAATATTTCAAAAATCAACTTGAAAATACCGCTCGGATTTTTATTGAATTTTTACACAAGGTTATTAATATTGAAGATCGTGGTCAAGGTCAACTGTGCATGACCCCCACGAACCTCGCAACTGTGCTGTCGAACATTTTTGCTAGAGCAAATTGTTTTCAATGTCTTGACTTGACCTTGAAGGTCGCGGCCAAAGACACCATCATTTTTCTTTCTCGAAACCCTACTTTTCTACGATGCGCAATTTTCGAAATATTTGGGTGGGGAGATGAAAATGGGACACCCTGTATAACTTGCAAAGTATTATTCGGAATTTGATGAAATTTCCACACAAGGCCAGTGCGAAAATACTTTACGGACAAACGAAAACATAAAATAAATATCGATCAAATTTCTCTTTTATTTTACGTTTCAAAGGGTCATAATCATTTTGAGCAAACAATTTGTTTAAAAACTGATGGCTTGCGGTTGTAGCAGGTCGGGAGAATATCTTAATTTTTTGACATTGGTAAAAAAGTTGGAGTCAAAAATTTGGGGTCGTGGGTGCTGTGTGGTGAGGTCAGTAATAGCAACGTTGTCAGATTGTAGGGTAGGGTATATACAGGGTGGCGCAGCGAAAACGAAACAGACGCATTTACTATCAGCTCAGTTTTTTTTGGGAAAAACGCTCAGACCCGTCGATTTTGGTTTCGAGGGATACAAGTTTGGCAAAAAATCACGTTAGCACGTGCAAGCGGGGGTGACACCACCCCCAAAATCTTAAATAGAAAGGGGTGTCGAGTGATACCTTATTTTAAAGGTCTTTCAATTCCCTTTATAATGATATAAAATTAATGTACTTCAGTTCAGTAGTTTTGAAGATTTATTGATTTAAATCTTAAATAAAACTAATACATCATCATTAGTGGAGCAAAGTGGCAGCAAAGTAATTTAAAAATGAAGAATGAACTGACCCGTTAGGCAAGTAAATGTTGAAAATGGCCACCATGACTCTCCATGCAATAATAAAGATTTTGCAATATTTGAGGAGTAATTTGAAGGCACTCATTCACAATTCTTTGTCGCGGGTCTTCTAATGATGTTGGTTGAGTAGCATAGCACCCACTGCTCTCCAATTATGACCATCAGCGGCATTTCTCTCTGTCACGGTGTCCTAGCCCATGTTTAAAACTCATGGTGGATTCGTGTAAATTCATCAACGCACCTCAGATGCAACTTATCACAGGACTAATAAGATTTATGTTACTTATATACTGGTGCGGTTTTAGCTACATCAGGGGTGCCCCAAGGTTCAGTTCTGGGTCCTCTATTATTTTTAATTTTTATCAATGATGTTACAACAGACTTGCGTTGTGAGTACCTGCTATATGCCGATGACCTCAAAATCTTTAATAGCGTGTGCTGCTGAGAAGACAGTTTAAGGTTACAGGCTGATTTGAGTGTCACTGATTACTGGTGTAAGGTAAATAACATGCACTTCAATGTCAATAAATGTACCACTATGACGTTTACACGCAGGGTGGAACCGACATGTTTTAATTTTGAAATCGGTAGCAATGTTCTTTGTCGTGTTAATATCGTCGAGGATTTGGGCGTATTATTCGATCTAAAGCTTTCTTTTATTGATCACATTAATGCAATAATAGCAAAAGCAAAAATCGTGGTTTTGTTATAAGAAGCTAGACATTTCAATAAGACTAATACATTATTTCTACTTTTTAATGCTTTTGTCAGATCTATTTTAGAATACTATTCGATTATCTGGTACCCGGCCTATGATATAAACTGTAAAAACATCGAGAGAATCCAACGTCGGTTTGTGAAATACTTCTGGTTTAAAAATGATAGAGCGTATACGCAATGATATTTTCTTAAGTAGATATAATTTACATAATTTAGTCAAACGAATGAATCTGTTAGCTGCTAAATTTTTATGTAATTTGTTGATTGGAACTATTGATTGCTCTTTTCTTCTAGACAGGATCTCTCTACGCGATCTTGATTTGCGTACTCTGGTGGTAAAAATTCATTTTACTTACCTGTTCCGCGGACAAATTTATTGTTATTTTCGCCTCTTTATGTTAGTGTAATGTCTGTCACAGTGTAAGTGAACTTGATATTTTTAGTTCCACCAAAATCGATCTCAAGAGGTGTTTTTTAACAATTGGATAATTTATATTTATGTCTTTTTTATCATGTACTGTTTAGAGTTTTGTTTTTGTATCATTTTTTGTTTTTTCCCTGCCTGTTAATTGGATTACTCTGTTCAGGCAGTGTATGGATTATTATAAATAAATAAAACATAATGAATTTTCTTATTAGTTTTGCATTACTGTCTTTTTACGAGTAGCCATTAGGGTAGAATATCAGCTGATTATTCATCTAGTAATATTTAAAAATTCTCCATATCGACAAGTGACACAATGCTGACGTATGTCAGCGCCAAGTAGTCAGATCCGTATCTTGTTGTTTTTTCTTTTTTAGCTACGGATTGATTTTGTACTTAGAGCAAAATGGCTGCTAATGATTATGACATTGCAAGTCAGACAGGAACCATATGCTTTTAAAGAGCAATGAAACAGCCATGTTTGAAATACGTTACACTGATGACGGACATTTAACCAGAAACATGTAATTATATTATTTTTACTTGTAAAATTACAGCTACTGCGAAGGCCAACGCGGTCTGTCCTTTTGACCTATCTCTTAATCATTAAATCCCAGGTATACCATAATTTTCTAATAAATATTTTTCTATGTGTAACTCGTATACAGGGTGTAACCGTTATGATAGTCATTATTTAAATGGTTGATAGGGGGATTTAAAATAAGCAAAAAGTTTCATATAACATCGGGGTCAAAACGGCATTTTTTAGAGAAAAGCGACTTTAGAGCAAAATAAAATCTGACAACGCCGCAATGCCAGACGCAAATTACGACGGAACGCAGTCTAAATAAAGATTGAGTTTGTTATTTTTGGCTCTTAGGTATTATTTCGTTATTTGATAATGTACTCGTAAAATGCAAACAATTAAAAAACGGGCTTACCACTAACTGTATCAGCGGTTCACCTGGTGTGTGAAAGTTTATTGAACGTATTAAAAAAATCCACTTAAAAATAGGGAACACAATTCTGATACATACGTTGTTTTTCTTTTTAAAACCCCCACTGGGTGTTCAAAATGTCGTCCTCCACTTTCCACACAAGCTTGATTACGACCTTTACGAATGGTATGAGGATTTTCTTGAGCCCACGTGTGAGTATTATGGAAATTTAATATCCCGTGTCGAGTAAAAGTGCATTCGTCCGTCGCTAGAATGTTTGTAAAAAAATTTGTTCCTCCTGTTCTACAGTCACGTGTCTTTCACCAGTGCGAATATTAGTGGGCTGAACGAAGTCTCTGGTACACTTACACAAATATCCTTCTGTCTGGGTATACCCGTTGGCGAAATCTGTCGTTTTAAATTTGAGCTGCAAGATTTGAATTCTGACCTTCACCGTAAACTAACATTTCCGCGAACTCTTGATTCGAGAACATTGTAAATAAACACGACGGCGTACGCGAACAAAAGCAAAACAACATACTAACCACTGTTACCGTCTGCGATCGATTGCCGGTTCGATAAGAGTGATGAAAGATCGACGCGCTGTTGTCATGTGTGTTTTAAATATTTAATTTAATGAAACTTACTTACTGGCTTAACTTATAAAAACTTAATGCCATTTATTTGTTGATTACCCAATTTAAAAACGTTTTACATTAGATTATAAAAATTAGTAAGATTGTGGTCGATATAAAGTTGTAAACTATAAAGCCATTTAGACAAAAATGTATTGACTTTTGGACCATGGGTCATATGATCTTTTTGACTTGTTTTGCCCCCCTATTACCCATTTCAATAAAGACTACCACAACGTTTACTCTCTGTATTTTATTGTCAAAATTCCCTGTCACTAAAAGCTATGTGAACAAGAACTCTGAATACGAGTTTTACCAGATTTACAACCGATTCATTATTGCCAACTTTACAGTAAATGTCAAAACGTGATGCATACTCGAGAAGTAGGCTATAGTTACCTCCAGAGCATGCGTGAGATGAGTTTGCAAGATTTTTTTTAATAGGATAAGAAATGAACATGGAGATTTCTATACAACATTTATTCTAATTGAATACAATAAACTGCAATCTTAAAAATTATCATTTCATACATGTTTCAAGATGGTGCTCTCTCCAAGAATTGTCTTTGGACGCCAGCCCGCATTTGCGGCATTGAAATCCCATTGTTTTTGAGTTCGTATACCTATGCTTCCTGACGATGTGATGATAAATTTGCATTCTCGTTTCGCATTTAAATCCGCAGTCATAACATTCGTGGTTCATCGTAGAAATGCAGTTATGTTTTTTAAAAACCTTGTCGGAGACCGTAGCAAAACTGCACCGTTTACATGTGTACTTCATCACCTCCTTTATGGAAGTTTGCAGGTGGCGCGCCATATGCCTGCTCAACTCGTCCACAGATGGCGCCTTGTACTTGCAACCCGGTTGCTTGCAAGGAATTTCTTCCGAATCAGCTTTCGCACGATGCATCACATTTATGTGATTACTTAAATCCCGCCAAGATTTCGTCTTGTAACGGCAAGCGGCACACTTGAACAGTGGATTTTGAACTCGCTTATGTTTTTGATTGAAATGATGCACGGCGTAGGAATTGCTCTTCCAATTATAGGGGCAAAGTGGACAGTACCATCTGTTGTCCTGTTCAGAGTAGACTGGACCTTTTTCGTCCAGTTTTTCTTCATTTTGGCCTGGATTCAGGCTACTAGAGCAAGCCGCATCCATTGTAGAAATATCTTCTACAGTTTCCGTCTTTAGGAAATCTGCAGCTTCTACCTTTTTTTCATTTCGCTGTTTTTTCAAGACACCATGATAACTATCCTCAAATTCTATGATCTCTTCCTTGATTTCAGTTTTTCCAAAAGGCTGACGAATGTTACCTGCTTCTCCCAAAATATTTGCTTGAGCTATACCCTCAGATTCTTGCAACACCTTTACATGTGCTTGTTGTATATTATGTGAGCCTACTTCAATCTCTTTTTCAGTTTTTTCAATGCTATCCGCGTCTTCTTCTTTCAAGACACCATGACAAATTTCCTCAAATTCTATCATCTCTTCCTTGATTTCAGTTTTTATAATAGGCTGATGAATGTTATCTGCTTCTTCCAAAAGATTTGCTTGAGCTATACCTTCAGATTCTTGCAGAACCTTTGTATGAGTATTGCCATGTGCTTGTTGTATATTGTGTGAGCCTACTTCAATCTTTTTTTCAGTTCTTTCAATGTTATCCGCGTCTTCTTCTTTCAAGACACCATGATAAATTTCCTCGAATTCTATATCTTCCTTGATTTCAGTTTCTCCAATAGGCTGATGAATCTTAGCTGTAACCCCTGATTCTTGCAAAATACTATGACCTTGCTGTATATTATCTGAGCCTTTCCCTTGTAAAGCTCCTGTTTGAGCAGGTCGGTTTATGCCATATGCGTCTCCTTGCAAAGCATTTGCTTGAGCAATATCATCAGGAATTTCTATTGCTCTGTCTATTGCACGAGGAATACCTTCAGCTTCCAAATTTATTTCAACCGCTTTTGTGCTTTTTCCTTTTTTTTGATAGTCGTTTTGCTTTCTCTTTTGAGCTAATGTGATATCCAGATGATCCCGATTTGTTTTATTCATCTCAGTATTTTTTTCAGGTTTTTCATGCAATTTATCTGTTGTTTCTTTATATCGAAAGCCTTCGATCTCCAACTCGTTCTCATGAACCTGGCTCAGATGGTCGATCATTCTGTATCGAGCTTCATCCTTGTATCCGCAGTATGGACACTTTGTCCAGCCGTCTCTATCGTCTTTACTGTTTGTGTCTTTGCCGTTATCGTCTTTTGTCATTGATGTTTTGGACGTGTGGCACTGGCTGCATTTCACATTGAACGGGCCGTTTTCTCCGTGCAGTGCTCTGTGTCTATCCCGAAGAGCATGTTGTCTGAATTTGCAATCGCAAAAATCACATTCGTATAGCCTGTCGACATCTACATTCGTACCTGCGGGGTCTGTAAAATCGTGACATTTTTCATAGTGAGTTTTCAGGGCACTATCACTACCCGTCCTATACGTGCATATCGTGCATTGCAGGAAGGCCCATGTGTGGGTTAATAGATGAGTTTTCAGAAGTCCCGGTTTTCTCGTTTCAAAATTGCATTCTTGGCATCTTAGAAGTGCGAATACCTTGTTGTGATGGCTGAACGCGTGGTGTTTCAATGGGAGCCAATGGTGTGCTTTGAACCCGCATTTTGAACAAGCCCAAGGATTGTCCATGTGGTCTTCCACAAAAAGTCGCTTGGTAGATTCAAAGTGACATTCAGTACATTTGAATACGGTATGCGCTTGACAATGCGCCTCAAATTCATCTTCCATGAATGTAACGTAATAACAAAAGGGGCATATGTAACGTTGGGGATTAGGTATAAGTTTTGGTTCCATTATTGGTTTAGTTTTATTCGGTTCGGGATGATCGCTAATAACATGTTTTTTGAAGGAACGCATGTCAAATGTGTTGAACGCACAGAATTTACATAATAGGCGAATTTTAAAGTTTGTTATTGCTTCTGTGTAAGTCATTTTGTGTGTCTTGATCAAATGTCTTTCGAATGATTTCATGCCCATAAAGGTACCACAACAATTTGGGCAACGATGAGAAGCTTTTTCAGCATATATTTCAATTGGATCTTCAATCTCTTGATTTTCTGCGTCATCTACAGTTGTTATTACATCTTCATACTCTGCGGAGTCTTTTTCTTGCCTTTCTTCTGGTTCATCTTCAGTTTTAAAAGATTCCAGGTTTAACAATTTTACCACTGTTTCGTCATCAGTGCTTTCGCATCTCAAACCTTCGAGATCTAACTCGGCTGAATGTTCCACTTGTATATGCTCATGTATGTTTTCATCCTGGTAGTTACAGTAAGGACACGTCGTGGAACTTGTACAGCATGTAAAGGCAGTACTTTCCTTGAAATGAAATTTTTCGTGCAAATCTTTAGAACCTAGATTTGTGAACTTGCACGTGCAAAACTTACATTTGTGCACTTTGCCTATAGATTCAAGTGTGGTATGATGGACAATTTTGTAGTGTTTGTCAAGTTCTGCTTTTCTTAATCCGGTGAAGTCACACATCTTACAAATGGCAAACTTCCCGCAATGGACGACTAGGTGTTTTTTAAGCAAACAATTATAGCCAGTTGTGAATCCACAAAATCTGCATTCGATGATCGAATCTTGTGGGTAACGATGCATATTGACGTGCTTTTGGTACAGGATCCAATGGTATGCTTTGAAATCACATAGCTCGCATTTCAAGGGAGTTTCAAGATGGTTTTGCACAAAGAAATGTTTCGTTGATTCCAAATCGCATTTGACGCATTGGTATGTGAAGTGGTTACTGCTGTGTTCATCAAAGTCCTCATTTGAGTAAGTCACATAATAGCAGAAGGAGCAACAATATCTGATCAAATGTCGCATTGCAATGTGTTTCAGGAGTTCCATTTTTTTGGAAAATACACTCGAACAGTGGGAAATCTGACATATATATTGACCGTTTTGGTATTTGTATCTTTGGGTGTCATAACTTAACCAATGTTTCATGAAGTCAAGCGGTTCTGCAGTAATATAATTACATGTAGTGCATATGAAATCTTTTATGCTCCCTTTCCCTGATTTTACGATTGTATCTTCACGTTTTGTTTCGTCGTTGGTTTGTAGTGCGCTATGATATTCCCTGAAAGAAAAAACATGAGTCAAGAAAATTGACCTCTCACGCATTAACATATAAGACAGCGCGAAGTGTATAATCGACCAACGCGAAATACTGAATCGCAGCCAACCTGTTGGGACTGTGTAGATCTCAATCCGCGAATCGGAGGCCAGTGGTCCATTCTTCGGGCTGTCTTATTTGGATAGATCACACACACTTTGAATAAACCACTGGTAATTACCAAGGGTAACTACTTTAGGGCTGGTAAAAAGAATCTCAATTCACAAACTTGATTCAAGTACAAAAAAGGAAATGTGTCCAGCATATACCGAAGATTTGCAGAAGTCCTTCAAAAATACTGTAAGTACAGTTTTCCTAGCTGGATAAAAATGTATTCAAATATAAACTTAAAAACAGCAAAAGCGCAAAAGTGAGGTTAAAACCACAAAACCGTAAAATGTCTACTGTCAAAATGCTATCAATCCACAGAGCATAAAAAAGTCAAGATTTGTCACTTTTAACACAAACTGTCAAGTATAGACTGTCGTCATCCGTGGTAGTTGTGTTGCTCGTTGAGAAATACAGAAAAATTAATAAATTTTGTAAATAAATTATGGATTTGTACCAGTTTTATGCAGACTTTCTGGTAAGTTGCTTTGATCTTGTATATGAAGCAAATTTTACTACATTATTCCACCACATATTTTGTTTATATTATATAAAAATATGTCCGTGAAGTAAAGTTTGTAGCTCGCTGAAGGTTCTTTATCCATTTCATAACAGTTTTTGTCCTTATGTTTCATTATAATTATTATTAGGTATGGTTGCACCTATCTCGATAAGTATTCTCGGAAGCAGGCTAGAAAATATGGTTGTGATGTCCTGATTCTAAAAATAAATCAACTGCTAATTAGATTTTATATGCTAGAATTTGATACTATTTGGTTCTTCCCAATGCTCACAAACCTTACAATCATATTTTCATGTAAATATGTTTTTCCAGTAGCATAATTTCAGTTGATTCTAGCCTCAGTTTCCAAAAGCATGACACATTGATATCTATAGATTGGGTTGTTGAAACACTTTGAATAGGATATAGTTGCTATGATTTTGTTGGTTATCAGCTAAACCAAACTCTAGACCAGGCCTCTACAACTCAGATGCTAGCAGTACAGCGCCGAGCACCGCTCGCAGCACAGTGCTGCGGAGTGACTCCGTGAAGGTGGGGGAGGGATTAGGCAGCGGCATACGCATCGCGAGGAAGGGGTTGTGCTAACCGTAGCACCTCGCGAATAGAAGTGACCCGGGCGCTGGTGGCATTGAGTATACCTTCCTCGCGGATTCGACTAAATTTAGTCATAATATGTAGTTTTTAAGTAAATGAACAAGAAGAGCTCAGTAAGGCCAGAAGTACCTGTGATACCGACTTAAAGATACAGCGTGACAAGAGAATTTCACCGCCATCACCGAAGCCTTGAAGGTTTGATGGAAATTTTAGGCTCATTTGGAAAAACATGGTATGACAAACTGATTTCCGCCACAAGTTTCTGTCATACCGACTGAAAGCTATAGCAGGCCATGCAAATAGATAAAAATAATACATCCTGTTTGTATGCTTCATGCTTGCATTTAAAAGCTCATTTGAGTCTGTCAGTTTGGCACCAGGCTACTAGATGTAGAAGGGCTGGCCTCAATACCGTGTGACAAATTAAACATTTTGCTTTTCCATCAGTATTTACAAAAAATAGACTTCTTCCATGCATCGTTTAAAAAAAGATGCACGTTAAGACGCTAAAAACCCTGTCCACTTTGTCTTGTCCTATTAAGAAATGGCCCGCGCCTGAGAGACAGTCGGCTAATATGTTTCTCTCTGTAGTGACGGATGTGCGGTCGAGGTGGAGGGGGAACGGCACCGGTACCGCTGGGTTCAGCACCGGAGCGCACCAGCACCAAGTGCTCGAGTTGGAGAGGCCTGCCCTAGACCTTGCTGACGAGTGTCCACTACCCAAAAAGCCCGAAACAGTTCTAGGATTGTTTACATTCATTCATGTACAAAACTGAGTTGTATCTTTTCAACTCTGTGTTTTTACCATTTTCAAACACATTTAAAACTGAAATCGGAGTTACTTTGGTATCGTTTGCTTCTTGTTAATTTCGGTGACAACGAATTGTCCTAAGAAGTATCGCTGTCTGAATTTTATCAAAGCTAAACAGATCTAGAAGTGACCGTAATATGTAAAAATGAAGTCTTTGAATTGTAGCTTACATTTCTCTTAGGTCTGTATTTATTTCGACCATATATTCTGTTGCATCAACCGGTTCCTGTTCTATGTCCAATTTTATGGAGCAACAGGAAGCCTCTAATTCTATATCTTCATCGCATGGTTCAACTAACGTCCCCTCAACTTCATCTTCTTGATCTGGTGTTTCTTCCTGCTGTGATTCACCTTTAAATGAATCTGGATCCAGTTTAACTTTTTTGTTAACGTGATCCATCTTGCTGAACTACCTGCAAGAAGCCACGGGAATATGCAAAATATTACTAGGCCAGGGAATGATAATAATAATAATTAACGTCTTTTTTATTTGTAATAATATTTGTTCGGTACTATATCTATTCTGTCACGTAACCGCCTTAACAATATGAAATGTATATAAACATTTGTTGAAAATTAATATCTGCATTCAGTAACGACAAAATAAAGTATATTCAGTATAAATATGCATAAATAAAACATGAAGTCAGTTAACACTTATGGCTTACAACAGATTTCGCTGCTGATCATCAAGTAGAATTTTTTTAATTTTTTTGCAGCGATTGGAATACCAAGAATACCAGAGAATCGCAATGCTCAGTTCCTATAGCTATAACTTATAGTAAGTATACATATGTATCACAATGGTGGTAGATTACAAAAGCACCCCCCCCCCTAAATCCGCTACTGGTTTAGATAATAATAATAATAAGATTTATTCACTCAATGTACAAAGATAACAAACAATATGAGTAAATAAATATAAAATCAAAACAGGCCCAATAGAAGGCATCGCCTGTGCATGGACCAATAATTTAAGTTGAAACTGTAGAATGCAAATGACAAAAAAGGACACAAATTAGCTACAGTAGATTATGTATTTAGTTGATGTTCGTATTGATGAGTTTATGAATTTCAGTCCTAGATATAGAATGTAGCCACTTTTTTAAATTTCTTTTGAAACAATTTCCGAAACGTAAATCTTTTAAGTCTTTAGGTATAATTTCATAAAATTTAGGTGCTAAATAGAGATATGATCGCTGCATTATAGATTTATGCGGTTGCTGTGCCACGAATTTTGTACCTGGTATAATGATTATGTTCAATTTTTTGGTCGGTGTTTACAAATTTATGGTAGTGAGTGATACTGTGTAAGAAATAAAGCTGTCTTATATCATACATTCGAACATCTGCGTATAATTTTTCAGTGGGATAAAGTTTCGGTTTTTTAAATATCATTTTTACAATACTTTTTTGACAAACATCTAAATTATAGATATGTGAGGAACATGCAGCTCCCCATGCTAATATACCATATGTGAGATAAGGCTCAATCAGTGCATGGTATAATGTTCGAAGATATTTTTCTGTCAATATATTAACAAGGTATTTAATTTTGTAGGATACAAATCTAACTTTCTTTAAAATATAATTGACATGGATGTCCCATCGTAAGTGAGGATCCAAGACCACTCCAAGGTATTTTATGTTGGGCACTCTATTAATTTGCATTTTTTGATCATTAATGTTGAAGGAGAAATTTGTGTAATTTGGCAGATGTCTAGCATAAGATACAAATGGTAAAAAATGTGTTTTAGAGTAGTTAATGCTTAATTTTTTACTGTTAAACCACCGAATAATTTTGATAAAATCATTTTCAATTACGTTTTTCAGATCAGACCAGTCAGTGCCTTCATATAATATTGCAGTATTATCTGCAAAACTAGTTATTTTGCCAACACAATTAATTTGGAAAATATCATTTAAATATATATTGAATAACAGCGGACCTAAGACAGTTTCTTGTGGGACACCACACTTAATATACATTTCTTTACTAAATGATCCTGATATCCTCACAGATTGTGGGCGATTTGACAAATAATTTTCGATCAGTGAGTACGCGTTTCCTCTGAAACCAATTCTCTCCAATGCTTCTAATAATAATTTGTGATTAACTGTGTCGAAAGCTTTCGTTAAATCAACAAAAATGCAGATTGAAGGGATTCTGTTATCAATATTTTGATGTATTTGATTTACAATTTTAGTTATTGCGTCCGATGTAGCCTTCCCTTCTGTAAATCCATATTGATTTTTACTTAAAATTTTGAATTTTGTGAGGTATCGAATCATTCTAGTAGACAAAACTTTTTCAAAAACCTTTGCTACACTGGATATTATTGATATTGGTCTATAGTTGTTAACATCTGTTTTTGTTCCTGATTTATGTATCGGTATTATATTACCTTTTTTTAAAATTGTGGGATATATGCCAGATTCAAAGCATTTGTTGATTAGGTAAATGAGTGGTTCTGTTAAGTCATCGGCTATAATTTTCAAATGCTCGATTTTAATACCATCGAACCCAGGACTTTTCCGATTTTTTAAGGCCATAACAGTGGTACTTCACATTGTTCGACTTTATCCAAAATAAATGAGTTCAAGGTTCTTTTTGGAGGCTGAGTATTTTGTACGTTTGCTTGTATATTACTTGCCAAATTTTCGCCCATGTCAGCAAAGAATTGTACAAATTCAGCGCATATCTGTTGAGTATTTTTTAATACTGTTCCCGATGTTGTATTTAACTCAGTGACACACTCTTTAAATTTTTTTTCCCAGTAATCTCATCAATAGTTGTCCAAAGCCGCTTAGGATCATTTAAGTTATTATTCAATTTATTTAGGTAATGTTTTCGTTTGGTTTGCCTTGCAAGCTCTATAAATTTATTTTTATATTGGTTGTAGCAGTCGGTATTCTCTGTAGTTGGCGTTAGTTTCATTACATTATATAGTCTTTCTTTTTCTATTGCCCATGTTATTAATCCTTTGGTAATCCAGGCATTCCTGCTTTTCTCTTTGTGAATTTTTACTTTATTGGTACTAATATCTATTAGTTTTTTTATTTTCTCGGTGAACAGTCCCGTTGCTTTGTCTATATTATTTATAGAGTATAATTGTTCCCAGGATTCTTGTTTGACATTTGATATTAGTTTTGAATTGTCGACAAAAAATTTGTAATTTTCCTGGTTGTTATTAACGGTAGGGATGTTAGAATGTCTTTCATTTGAAGATATCAGTAAAATAGTGGAGAAGGAAGTGGTCAGTAATATCGCTTTCTAGGATTATTGGTATACAACTAATTTTGTTGGATAGGTCTTTCACAAAGCAGTGATCTATACATGTGCCACTGATGGACCTTGTAGGTAGGTTTATATAGGACAGAAATCCGTTACTTGGTAGGATATTTAAGTATTCATTTGTGATGGGATCATCGTCCAAAATATTTATATTGACATCTCCCAAGAAAATATGTTGCTTTAAATGAACTTTTTTTGATTTTGAAAAAAAAATTCGATATTCTTTAAAAACTCGTGGGGTTCTGAAAATTGCAGATACCTCAATTTTGTTATGGTTAATTTGGATCATTATGTTTAAAATTTTGATTCCATCGGTGAAAGTGAATGTATCATGATTATATTGCAGTTTATTTCTTAGATGATCAATTAGTTTCCTTTAAATTAAAGGTCTAAAGAATCAGATAATCTGATCGCATTGTAAATATATGTATTCTGGAACAGATGTGCTGTGGCGTGGAATTGAAAAAGTCTCTCTATTCTGATATTAATGTCATAAATATTTCCTCTACGTATGAACTTGGTTACGAAATAAGACGATATTTTTTAATAAAGAACACTGTGAGTCAGACTTCGGAGATGGTTTCTATACATTTTATCAATTTTCATCCATTTGAGGTCGTTAATGGCCTTCGATATATCATCATCTTCTCTGAGATCATTTACAAGTCTGCAACATATCATAAAGCTTAACACGATTCCTTGTTCTGATATCTAAATAGGAATAGTAAAAGGAAAGATTCACACAATTGTTTTCTCGCAGAGTTATCTAATATAGCCTTATTTGCAAATAAAACTCTGAACATAGTCATCATTCATTATAGGTTCTTCGAATGATAAAGCACTCCTTTTTATTTTATTTGCGTATATTTGTCTTTAAAATTGTAGATTCCTTCTGAGATTACACTTTGATAGTCTTTAGGTTTTTACAAAACCTTTTTATATCCTCATTTTGAACAGCTTGTAAATAATCTCTTTTTCCTTTCCGAACGAGTGTTAATGCACGATTTCTGAAATATGTACATATATATACAGGGTGACTTTGAAGTTGAGTCATTAATTTTCAGATAATGATTGTAGAAGGAAGATAAACCAAAATATGTGAGTAAAAATAAAAATAAAATTAAAAAAAAAGTTTCCTTGTTTTATAAAGTATCCTCCCGACAAGTATTTCAGTGCGGACCTGTATTTGATCGTGCGGTCTTGGAGCACCGGCATGCCGTCCCCTGTGAAGTCTTAAGTCACCTGATTCACGAGCCCTTTGTACTACATTAACAAAGGCACGAGGGGTTGGTTGCACTCGATTGGGAAACCGATCCGCATAAACATGTGCCATTTTTTATTTCGTTTGAGCCACGCAACAGACACCACCATTCACTCACGCGTTACCGACTGACACTGACTGTATACAACTGAATAAAATAATTGTAAAAACATCGTTCCAAGTTCTTTCGCTTTTTTGTTTCCGATGCGATGAACCGATAAGGCGGATTATATCCGTTGTTGCCAAACACGAGCACATAATATTATTATTGAGACAGGGCGGTACTCAAACTTCCAAAGGGCTATAACTTTGTTACTTTAATTTTACCAGAAAAATGGTAAAGGAAAAAAACATTTCTTTTGATCAGATCTACTCACTGTTAAAATAAATGACTCAACTTCGAAGTCACCCTGTATATATATATATATATATACAGGGTGGCCAAACACGTCACGTCATAAAAAAAAAATTAGATTCTCCACATCGAGAGGAACCCAAATCATCCCCATATATATGGTCCGATTTTGTTTAGTTTAGGAGTTATGATTTTTTTTCGGATTTTTCGAGAATTTTTGAGTTCTGTGTTTATTTTTACCATAACTTCGTTAATAATTGTGATAAATGCCTGCTTTTTTCACGATTATGTAGCTAAGACCTAAGGCTTAACTATCATATAATCATTCAAGTCATGTAACTAATACTACTTTTTAATTTTTTTCAAAATCTTCGAACATAACAAAAAAGTAAAAAAGTGCAACAACTTTGAACGTTTATAAAAAATTGAAAAAACATGTTCTTACTATTCGTAAGTATCTTAAAAACTTCCTTACGGTATCAGCTATTTACCGTAAAAATTTCATCAACCTAGCTTTACTACATGCTACCGTAATAGTGGCTCAAATAGAACCGAACCCAAAATTGGATAACCCTCTGCTCAATAGAAATTGTTAGTTTCGGAAAAAAAATTTGCAAAAACCACAAAAACACGTTTGATATTTACTGAACAGCAGATTATTATTCATTTATGTTATTTACAAGAGGTTTTCAAAATGTCTGCCTCTAACAGAAATGCACAGTGTACACCTACGTATGAAATTTTGTTTTAAATCTCTAAATGCTTGTGTGTTGTTTTTCAACACATGTGTCGCTTCTTGAATTTTGTTCCTCAATGAATTTTCATTTGCACATTCTTGGGCGAATGTTATGTCTTTAAAATATCCCCAAACAAAAAAATCAATGGGGTTGAGGTCAGGGGAGCGTGGAGGCCATCGTATCGGTCCGTTTCGTCCGATCCATCTGTCTGGGAACCTTTCGTTTAAGTAGTTTCGCACGATCGTTGCGTTGTGGCATGGTGCACCATCATTCTGGAACACCATGTTCCGTCTGGCTTCCAGGCTTGAATCTTCCAGCAATAATGGTAGGCTATTTTCAAGGAAGCTTTTGTAGGCTACCGAATCCAACCTTGACGGCAGTTCAAATGGACCGATAAATTCCATATTGAATATTCCTGACCACATATTCACACTAAAACGGTGTTGAAATGTCGACGGCCTTGACTGGTGGGGGTTTTCAACAGCCCAAGTATGTAAATTATGGATATTGAATATCCCTGTTCTTTCAAAACGTGACTCGTCAGTCCATAAAATTTTATCAAAAAAATCTGGATCCTCTCGTTGTCTTCGCAGCATTGTCTCGCAGAAATCCACTCTTAACTGGTAATCTGAAGGCATCAACGCTTGAACTCTTTGAACATGATAGGCATGATAACCTTCTTCATGAAGAATATTTTGTATCGATGTTCGTGGTATTCTAAGGTTTTGTGCCATAGATCTCGTACTCGTTGAGGGATTCCGGCTAATTTCTTCAAGTACTACTTCTCTGCGATCCGGATCAGCTGTAGGATATCCTTCATTGCTTCCTCGTCCTGGAATGATGGTGCACCATGCCACAACGCAACGATCGTGCGAAACTACTTAAACGAAAGGTTCCCAGACAGATGGATCGGACGAAACGGACCGATACGATGGCCTCCACGCTCCCCTGACCTCAACCCCATTGATTTTTTTGTTTGGGGATATTTTAAAGACATAACATTCACCCAAGAATGTGCAAATGAAAATTCATTGAGGAACAAAATTCAAGAAGCGACACATGTGTTGAAAAACAACACACAAGCATTTAGAGATTTAAAACAAAATTTCATACGTAGGTGTACACTGTGCATTTCTGTTAGAGGCAGACATTTTGAAAACCTCTTGTAAATAACATAAATGAATAATAATCTGCTGTTCAGTAAAAATCAAACGTGTTTTTGTGGTTTTTGCAAATTTTTTTTCCGAAACTAACAATTTCTATTGAGCAGAGGGTTATCCAATTTTGGGTTCGGTTCTATTTGAGCCACAATTACGGTAGCATGTAGTAAAGCTAGGTTGATGAAATTTTTACGGTAAATAGCTGATACCGTAAGGAAGTTTTTAAGATACTTACGAATAGTAAGAACATGTTTTTTCAATTTTTTATAAACGTTCAAAGTTGTTGCACTTTTTTACTTTTTTGTTATGTTCGAAGATTTTGAAAAAAATTAAAAAGTAGTATTAGTTACATGACTTGAATGATTATATGATAGTTAAGCCTTAGGTCTTAGCTACATAATCGTGAAAAAAGCAGGCATTTATCACAATTATTAACGAAGTTATGGTAAAAATAAACACAGAACTCAAAAATTCTCGAAAAATCCGAAAAAAAATCATAACTCCTAAACTAAACAAAATCGGACCATATATATGGGGGTGATTTGGGTTCCTCTCGATGTGAGGAATCTAATTTTTTTTTTATGACGTCACGTGTTTGGCCACCCTGTATATATATATATATATATATATATCTTTGAACATTGAAAAAGCTTCATCTCTGCTTGAATAAAAGTTTAATATTATCATCCAACCAAGGAGCAGGAGTTTGTCATTGTCCGTCATTTTGATAAACGCTTTTGATCAAATATCTGGTAAACTATCCATCATATGTATAAAAGTAATACAAACAATTAATAATAGTAGTAATCGTCTTTGTTAGGGGCGAAGTATATCATAGTGCTATTCTGCCACTTATCAATGTACAAAACACAAGAGATTAAAGATTTCAATTTTACAGTAACGGGCTAGAACATAGGTATATAAAGATAGGTATAAACATATCTTGAATGAAAATATAAACAGGTATGTATACAAAGATATGAAATATAATTGACACTGAAATATTTTTGTGAAGAGAGAGGTCACTTTGAGCAAATCGCGCGAGGTTAGTCATAGCAACGATCTTGTGCTTCCGCAGGATTTTTTCTCAATAGTGGAGGTGGAGGGTCACTCATCAGCAAGAGATAACTTTGTGTGATAGCGTGCCTGCCTCCAAAACTTTTTGAAAATTGGGGGTAGCATATAAAACCCCCTAATGCATACACTAAAGCATGCTAAATATGCAAATTGTAATTGTAACCGCGTTGCGAGGGAAGTGCAGAGTCAACCGACTTGACGCCAGAGAATACTGAAATCCATCATCTCAAATGATCAACTTTTCGCAACCACAATTCTTCCGCCGCACATGGTGATAATTTGAACCTCTACATTTTTTCAATTACCATTTAGCTTTTTTATTTTACTCCAAAATGTCTAAGGTTATATTGTAGCGTGACTGATTTCATAAATGGTACCTCTCATATAGAACATGTCGGTAATTGATGTAGATAAACGTAAACGTGGCAACATTGCTGCCCGAAACGTTGGCGGCACGACGGATTGCAGCTGGCGAACGAGCGTTGTCCGCAGACCCCTCCAACCTCCATTGTTTCCGTGCGTTGTTGCGAGATGTTCACTTTTATCCTCTGTCAAGGGAATTCCGAGAGTGGGACAGAACAGTTTTATTTTATTCTTCAACTTGCACGAAGAGCCAACGAATAGTGATACTTTAATAGCACGGTAACAAGTAACTGTCAGTTGATCACCCTTTTAGAAAGCAAAACTTTGGAAGTCGATGTATTCACAACACGTGCCTAAACTGTTGTCTGGTACCAACAAAGCAGACAGTAGTACCACACATGGTACATTAAGGCTACCGCGGCATGCCTTTGAATTGATAAAGTCGGTGCGCGCGGATCCCCCCGCACTTTGCCACTGTCTTCTGTTTCGGTAACAGAGTATGTAAAGATCCTGTTACGTTTCTTGTACTCTATATGTCTATCTTGTCCATGTATTTGAGCGAACTCCTGTATATTTTCTAACTGGGGAGATAGCAGGTATGTTAGAATTTGAAAAAAAAATAGCAATATCGTTTTTTTACTGTCCCCAATTTTGTTCACCCAATATCTTCGAAACAAAGGGAGTTTTCAGCAATCATCATAGGACAAAATATTCTTATAAGAGGCATAACCCTTGGATTTTTGCCGCATGTTTACCTAACACCCTCTATATGGCTGTCTGTTCGGGTATGCGTAACTACTGTGATAACTCTAAAAGTACCTCAGCTATTTTGATGTAGCAGCTAAAAATTGTTGAAACCATTATTTTGAATTGTGAAATATCTAATGCTCACTTTATACTTGGAAATGTTAAATCGGTATAAATCAACGTGCGGGACATACCGAGTTAATCTACTTGACTCAGTATTATGAATTTATAAGTTTTATTGATTCGAGAAGTAAATTTTATCAATACAATATTTAAAGCTTTCTGTAGAAAATTCACTTAAACTATTGATCACCCCCCGTATACAACCAAGTGTCCTAAAAACTGTTAGTGCTAGTTTCCTAACCCATATCCGCTTGTATTGAAAAATTTCAGTAAGTGTGAACTCCTGATATAAATGTGGCAACATTGCAAATCTATGGATGAAAACATGGCTAACTCGCAAGGAACGGCAGAAAATGTTAAAATATCCTCAAGATGCCATCCAGACAGAGAAGGTTAAGCTACGTATTAACATTGCGCTGTCATATGTTAATGTTAATAAAGATTACCTGATAATATTTACTGGGACACTACCGTGTATTCTGTTTTACTCGAGAACAGTCCACCGACAACCGACAACCACGCTAACATATTGACAATCGGTATGGGCGACGTTTTAGCTATGTTGTCAGATCTCCATTTTTTGTTGCATTACCCAGAAAATTTTGCAAACTGTTATTTGTGTAATAGTCCAGTCATTGTGGGATCTGGCATGTCTCGAATCGGTGTAGTATATTTAAATTTGAGTTGAATCGATTAGGTTCCTGAAGATTCAAAATAGTCAGCAGTTCGTGCCTGGAGTGTGAGACTGTTCGAAAGCGGGTCAAGCAGGCATTTAATGCTGCTGTTTGTGTTTTGGATCTGCGGAATTCTATGTTTCTTGCCTCGAAACCAAAACAACTACTGATCGCACAATTGTCTCGTTCTTATTGGCTTATTGTTATTTCGACATTTGTTTAGGGTATACAGTGCTTTTCAAAAAGCCCCCGTCCCTACCTACTTTTGAGCTGGTGGAGTTCAGAAGGTAAAATTCGGAGTGATGAAAATATTGAACAGATATAGTCGTTCTAATGTCAATTGGAACAACAAAAAAGAAGTCTCCAAAAATAGGTGTGAAATAATATACAGGGTGGCGCATCGAAAACGAAACAGATCTTTTCCAGCTGCCCCGAAACTTTTTAAACATTAGAATAGCAGGGCTTGTAATCACTTGAATCTTTGATTCAAATACGCCTTTTAATTCGTAGACGAGATGGCGGCAAGCAAAAATACGCATTTCTTTATTAAGTTTATGTTCGAGAAGCACGCAGATACCGTTAATGCGACCCGTATTTGAAGCATAAGTATCACAACAGAGAACCTGAACTTCAAGATTCCAGTCAATAATAGCATCCCAAACTGTCTGAGCCTGCTCGTTGCCTGAAAAGTTATCCAATTTGGGCACAGCGATAAGTTGCTCTTTACAGGGTGGCGCTACAAGGTACTAACAATATTGTTTGAAATAACTGTTGCGGTTTTGTAAAAATTTCGTTTTTGTCATGAATAAACAAATTTAGGAATTTAACTGGTCATCAAATTCTTGGTTTCTAAAATGTTACACATTGTTAATGTTAATCAATAGATTATTTGATGTTGTTTAAAATTTTAAAAGAGAGTCTATTACCTAAACTTCAGCATTTTGTTTTTAGCAATCAATTATTTGATTTTATTTATTTCATCTTACTTGCATGATATAAATCAGTACGTTTCTTACATAGGTTTCAAATCTTCACCTTACCTTCTTCACCTCATCCGGTGTACCGCAGGGATCAAATTTAGGCCCTCTTCTCTTTCTTTATTTTATGAATGACCTCCCTAACTGTCCTTCTTTGTTGTTTGCCGATGATTTAAAAATATATGCTCAGATTAACAGCATTGATGAGTGTCTAATCTTGCAAGCTGACCTCAATCATATAATTGAATGGTGTTCAACTAATAAATTATTTTTGAATGTTAGCAAATGCAAAACGTGTTCTTTTACCAGGAAAACAAGGAAAACAAATCCAATAGCTTTTGATTACGCACTGGAAGGTGTCAGATTGATGCGTTGTTCACAGTAAGAGATCTAGGTGTGTTGTTTGATGTTAAATTAGAATTTACAGATCATATTAATACATTAGTATCATCCGCTATAAAAGGCTAGGTTTTTTGATAAGAAACTGTAAATCATTCGGTAGTGAGACGGCACTTAAGGCTTTATACTGCACCTTGGTGCGTTCTAAACTGGAACATGCATCAAGTGTATGGCATCCGTATTACCAAATCTATAATAATGAAATTGAAAGTGTACAGAGATTTCTCAAATACTTGACTTTCAAATCAGATGGTGTTTACCCAATCGTGGGACTGCCCAATCAGCGATGTTGCTCAGATTTGAAATGCATCCTCTTGAGCTGAGAAGAGTTTGTAATATACTAAGTGACATATAAATCCGAACACCCAGTTTAAATGGTTTTATTTTAATAAAATTTTGTATAAGTACTTAATGAAGTATAATAAGTTAATGATAAAAATTTCAAAATGATTGCACTGCTTTAAAGCCCTTTGACCTTTAATAATGTGTGGATGCACCCTGATGTGCTACGCATTCTCCAACGCGCCTAGGCATGCTTCTGATCAGGTGGTCAATGTCCTCCTGTGGTATCTCATTCCAGGCAACTACCAACTCCTCTCGAAGTGCTTCTAGAGTCTGAGGAGGACGTTGCAAATTGAGCAATCTCCTACCCATCATATCCCACACGTGCTCAATTGGGGATAAGTCGGGAGATCTTGGTGGCCATGGTAACAATGTGACATCATTATGTTGAAAGAAGTCTATTGTGACTCTTGCAACATGTGGTCGGGCATTATCTTGTTGGAAAGTTGGATCTTCCAGGGTGTCAAGATAGTGTAAAAGATGGGGTTCTAGAACTTCATGGATATAACGCTGTGCGTTCATGTTACCTCTGATGAAGATTAAAGGTGACCTGGAACCATAAGCTATAGCACCCCAAACCATAACTCCAACAGTGTGATGAACATATCTTTCAACAAAAAACTGTGGATTTCTCCTTTCACCACGTCGCCTTCTAACCCTGGCACGACCATCGTGCATGCCTAAACAAAATCGAGACTCGTCACTAAAGACAATACTGTTCCATTCCTGATCCCAGAGTGACCGTTGTCTGCACCACTCAAGGCGATTACGTCGGTGTTCTCGAGTTAAAGGGGGGACCCAGTGTGGCCGGTATGAAAACAAGCCAAAACTTCTCATTCGTCGGTAAACACTTCGCATGCCAATAGGTTCTCCGTGTTCTGTAAACCATTCATTTGCAATGGACCTGGTAGTGGAGAAACGGTCCCTTAAGGCCAATAATCTTAGGCGGCGATCTTCACGGTCTGTTGTTCTACGGCGGCGTCCAGTGCCCCTTACTCTTTGCGTACGGCCTTCTCGAAGCCATGCCTGACAACACCTAACCACAGTGTCTACACTTCTTTGCACTCTAACTGCAATTGACCGAAAAGAAAGTCCAGCTTCTCGAAGTCCCACTATACGGCCCCTATCAAACTCACTAAGTTGACGAAATCGTACATGTCTCCGTACTCTAGGCATCGTAACCGATCGTAAAGGATGTCAAGAACCAAAATCCGCCAACGTTGATTCTTTACTGCGGCTGAAATATTCATTTTTAGAGCGTTAGTGAATTAAAAAAAAGCAGTATGAAAACCGGAATGTCCAACTGGTAAGGCTGAAAATTTTTTCACTTGTTATTTACAGTAAGATAAATACATTCACCAATTTTTATTAAAATAAAACCATTTAAACTGGGTGTTCGGATTTATATGTCACTTAGTATATCTGGTGGGGAATAAATATATTATTATTATTATTATTACCTATTGTAAAATATTTCCAATGAAGACGCGTACGCCAATGAGAAAGATAAAAGATGAATTAGCAGTGTTGGCCAGAATCATAGCATTTTGAAAAATGAAAATGTTCAAGTCATTAGCATTACTTACCAAACCACAAAATGCTTTTGGTGTTACGCCACTGGAATACACCCATATATTAAACGTAGTAGCTTGTATTTGTTCATTAAGCTGTTTGATTGCATAGTAAAATTTATAATTCGTTTCAAAGTACATAATTATGTTAAAAGTAGGAAATTTTTACTGCACATCACTGAAGGCGATATCGTTCAATGAGTGCTTCAATCTTTTCTGGGGCACAAAACACTCCTCTTTATGCAGTATAATAATTCATAACAGTATGGGAAAAAATACCCATTCTCACGAGAAACCCCAAAAAACTACCTTTTTTAGGGATAACTGTAACACTTTTTTAAAATTCGATAATGGGAGTTATACCCAACTTTCGAAAAAATTGATAAATTACTTTTTGTGGGATAGTCCAAAGATCAAAATGAAACATAGAAAAATTTCCAAGATCAAACATTGAGAATCTGACATAGCCCCAAACTTGGCTAAAAAACCTGTCTTCCTTTGCTCCCCTTGTATGTGTGGATACATTAAAAATATACCGGTCGAAGCGTGTACGTGTTCCCAAAGGGTTGGTCAAGAACCTCCCGAATACCACAACTCGATATCTCTTTCCGTTCCGAAAGTACCGAGATTTGAATTTGATGTCAAATTTTCCATTTTGCAAAGCAGTTTATTTCAACTGTGCATTTGTTAAATACATTTTTTTCTGTTTCATATTATTCTGTTGTTTATCTATGTTACTTTTTCTCACACATTGAGGTTAAGTGTAAGGTAGCCCTTCGGCTAAAATTCGCCTCACCGATATGTATGTGTATTAATAAAGACATTTATTATTATTAATATTACCTCGGATCCTCCTCTGTAGATCTGGCAACAGTGGTTCTGTCAGGGTTGCCGACCATACAGTTTCAAATGTAGATTTACGGTTTTTCGAAAATCTTCCATGTTTTCAGTTCGGGGTTTCAAATCTACAGTTTGAAACAATGTCAAAAAATGACAGCTGATCATGCATGCAAAAAGCAAATTCTTTCTGAGCGGTTGTTGTTCTGGTTGGCCTTGAGTGAATTTGGAAAATGTTGAATGGAAATGTTTATGTCGCTCAAGGCCAACTAGAACCACAACTGCTCAAAAAGAATTTGCTTAAGCAATGCCAAACTGTCACTTTTTGACATTGTCCGCGAAAAATACTGTAAATGCAGGGCTGTAGATTTAATAATATTCTACATTTATCTACAGTTTTTTTTCAAGCTTATATATATGCCAGTTATTCTCCATCACATCGTCCACATGGAAACAAGCTAATTATTCCAATTCCTAAAAAAAACGAAACCCACTGAGTATAATGATCTCAGACCTATCAGTTTATTACCAATTTGATCCAAAATTTTAGAAAAAATTATAAAGTTCCAATTGACCGCTTACCTAGAAAAATTCTTTATACTTCCCGACACTCAATCCGGACTTAGAAAAAATTATAGTACAGCAACTGCCCTACTTAATCTGCAAGACAATATTTTAAGTGCCTTAGATAATAAAATGGCACTAGCCTTAATCTCTATAGACTATTCGAAAGCCTTTGACAGCATCAATCATAAATTTTTACTTGCTAAATTAAATTACATAGGTCTTGACAGTGTATCCCTTTCATTTTTCGACAGTTACCTTCATCAAAGAACTCAGTGTGTTTTTCTCAATCAAGAAATGTCTCAAGTGACAATAATTTCCTCAGGCGTACCTCAGGGCTCTGTATTGGGGCCGCTTCTGTTCCTCATATATACGTTCGACTTAAGCAAAAGTATTGATAATTCTCATGTCCAGTCACTTGCAGACGATACGCAATTGCTTCATTATTTTAACCCAGATAATGTCAATAATACTACTCAAATTTTACAAAACGATGTTAATAAATTAATTAAATACTCTTTAGATCACAATCTACTTATTAATCCACAAAAATGTAAAATGTTTTTGATACAAAATTAATGTTTATTGAACATGTTAAAAGTCTATCTCAGAAAACCTACCTACGGCTGCGCACTCTTATAGCAAACAGGTATTTACTAAATTTTAAGATGCGTAAAAAACTATGTGAAGCATTGGTCATAACTATACTAAATTATTGTAATATCGTATACTATACTTGTTTAGACAATTTCACTAAAAACGTTATTCAAGTTATTCAAAACAATTGTATACGATTCATTTTTGGCTTACGTAAATTTGATCATGTATCAGCGAAATATCCCGTTCTAAACTGGTTAAAAATTAATGACATGGTCAAGTATCACTATTCAGTTTTTGTTCACAAATTGCTGCTCACGTCTAAACCTTATTACTTGAAGAAAAAAATTTCATTTAATAATGATGTTCACTGTAGAACTCTCAGAGAAAATAATATTAGAATACCCCTGCATACGTCTACACTTTTTAAACGTAGTTTTTCTTACAATGTTGCTATTATTTATAATGACCTTCCTAAAGTATATAAAGAATTTTCATTACCTGTCTTTCGACTAAAAGTTAAAACATTATTGCTCAACCCTCCAAACATATAATTTACGTAATCATTCATTTCTTTTTTTATTCCATCTTTAATTCAGATTAATAATTTTTCGGTGCATTTGGGTTTGGAAAGTATGCCTTTTTCTCTTTTTTTAAATTTTACTTTCGATGTAATGAACCAAATCTGTTTGTGGATAGTGTATCCTTTTGAACATCTGCTAGAGACTATATGGTTAAGTGTAAGAGTAGCAGCATGCTAAACTTCGCCATGTAAGTCTGACATTTGGCTATACTACAATGTAATTGTGGATAAATAAAGACGTCTATTATTATTATTTACAGTTTTTCTCTCGGATGGGGTTGGTAACGCTCAAACGTGCCTTAGATGCAACTTAAGGCATGCCTAATAAGATTTGTGTTACATATACAACACGTAATGCACTTCCTTGTTGCTTTTGCACGAGATTACTTCCAGAGCATGCGTACACCCTATTTCACGTGGCGTCTACTAAGGTAAACAGCTGATCAGCAACTGACATCTTTGTATTAGTCTGCAATGTTGGCAATTAATGGATCGGGTGTCAATCTAACCTGCTTGTTACCTTTTTTGTATGACAATAACCTTTTCTAAATAAACGAGTTGTTAGCAAGTACAAAATGAATCTGTAGCGTATTAAACAATCAAACAAAATACGGCTCCGTCTATCTGGCGTTGACGGGTCCGTCGGAATTATGTGTCATATGTCAATAAGGGGAATACTAAAAACAGCTGTTATTCTACCGCAATGGATACTCGTGAAAAATACAGGGATAGAAATATTGAACTTGGAGATTTTTATGCAACATTTATTTTAATTGTATACAATCAACTGCACACTGCAAAATTACCGCATTTTCGCACATTTGTCAAGATGTCGCTCCCTCCAAGTCTTGTCTTTGGATGCAAGCCCACATTTGCGGCATTGAAATCCCTTTGTTTTTGAGTTCGTATACCTATGCCTCTTAATGATGTGATAATAAATTTGGATTCTCGTTTCGCATTGAAATCCGCAGTCATAACATTCGTGGTTCATCGTAGAAATGCAGTTATGTTTTTTAAAAACCTTGTCCGAGACCGTAGCAAAATTGCACCGCTCGCATTTGTACTTCATCACCTCCTTTATGGAAGTTTGCAGGTGGTGCGCCATATGCCTACTCAACTCGTCCACAGATGGCGCCTTGTACTTGCAACCCGGTTGCTTGCAAGGAATTTCTTCCGAATCAGCTTTCGCACGATGCATCAGACTTATGTGATTACTTAAAGCCAGCCAAGATTTTGTATTGTAACGACAAGCAGCACACTTGAACAGTGGATTTTGAACTCGCTTATGTCTTTGATCGAAATGATGTACAACAGCGTAGGAATTGCCCATCCAGCTATAGGGACAAAGTGGACAATACCATCTGTTTTCCTGTTCGTAGTAAAGTGGACCTTTTTCGCCCCATTTTTGTTCATTTTTGCGTAGATTCAGCCTATTTGTGCAAGGTGCATCCGTTGTAGGAATATCTCCCACAGTTTTCGTGTTTAGGAAATCTGTAGCGTCAACCATTTTTTCAATTTGTTCAACGCTATCCGCGTCTTCTTCTTTTAAGACCCCATGATAAATTTCCTCAAATCCTATAATTTTTCCAATAGGCTGATGTATGCCATATACTTCTTCTAAAAGATTTGTTTGAGCTGTACCCCCTGATTCTTGCAAAACGTTATGAGCTTGCTGTGTATTATCTGAGCCTTCTTCTTGTGAAGCTCCTGTTTGACTATGTCGTTTTATGCTATCTGCGTCTTCTTGCAAAGCATTTGCTTGAGCAATATCATCAGATTCTTCTTTTGCGCTATCAATGCTATCTACACCTTCGTTTTGCAAAACTTCAGCACGAGCAATATCTTCAAGGTGTGCGTCTGCCTCCAAATTTATTTCATCCGCTTTTGCGCTTCTTCGTTGTTTTTGCTGTTCTTTTTGAGTCAATGAGATTTCTGGAAGTTTCCTATTTGTTTTATTCATCTCAGTGTTTATTTCAGATGTTTCATAGTATTTCGTCTTGTGCTTTCGACGGTCGCCACTTGTAGCTACCGCAGTGTTTCTTCCAGGTTTTTCACGTAATTTCTTTGTGGCTTCTTTATATCGAAAGCCTTCGATCTCCAACTCGTTCTCATGGACCTGGCTTAAATGGTCGATCATTCTGTATCTAGCCTCGTCCTTGTATCCACAGTATGGACACTTTGTCCAGCCGTCTCTATCGTCTTTACTGTTTGTGTCTTTGCCGTTATCGTCTTCTGATATTTTTGTTTTGGAAGTATGGCACTGGCTGCATTTCACATTGAACGGGCCGTTTTCTCCGTGCAGTGCCCTGTGTCTATCCCGAAGATTGCATTCTTGGCATCTTAGAAGCGCGACTACCTTGTCGTGACGGCTGAACACGTGGTGTATCAATGGGAGCCAATGATGTGCTTTGAACCGGCATTTTGAACAAGACCAAGGATTATGCATGTGGTCTTCCACAAAAAGTCGCTTGGTGGATTCAAAGTTACAGTCAGTACATTTGAATACGGTATGTCTTTGACAATGCGCTTTAAATTCATCTACCATGAACGTAACGTAATAACAAAAGGGACATATGTAACGTTGGGGATTAGGTATAAGTTTTGGTTCCAATATTGGTTTAGTTTTATTTGGTTCGGGATGATCGCTAATAAAATGTTTTTTAGTGGTGGACGCATATAATTTACATAACTGGCGATTTTTTAATTTTGTTTTTGCTTCTGCGTAAGTCATTTTGTGGATGCTGAACAAATGTTTTTCGAATGCATTCATGCCCGTAAAAGTACGAAAACAATTTGGGCAACGGTGAGAAGCTTTTTCAGCATATATTTCAATGGAGTCTTCAATCACTTGATTATCTGCATCATCTGCAGATGTTATTACATCTTCATACTCTGCGGAGTCTTTTTCCCGCCCTGCTTTTGGTTCATCTTCAGTTTCAAAAGATTCAGGGTTTAATAATTTTATCACTGTTTCCTCAACAGTACTTTCGCATCTAAAGCCCTCGAGTTCTAACTCGGCTGAATGTTCCAAGTGTATATGCTCATTTATGTTTTCATCCTGGTAGTTGCAGTAAGGACACTGGATCGTCGTGGAACTTGTACAGCATTTAAAGGTAGCATTTTCCTTAAAATGAGATTTTTCGTGCAAAAGTTTAGAACCCAGATTTGTGAACTTGCACGTGCAAAACATACATTTGTGCACTTTGCCTATAGATTCAAGTGTGGTATGATGGGCAATTTTGTAGTGTTTGTCAAGTTCTGCTTTTTTTAATCCGGTGAAGTCACACATCTTACAAATGATAAACTTCCCGCAATGGACGACTAGGTGTTTTTTAAGCAAACAATTATAGCCAGTTGTGAATCCACAAAATCTGCATTCGATGATCGAATCTGGTGGGTAACGATGCATATTGACGTGCTTTTGATACAGGATCCAATGGTATGCTTTAAAATCACAGAACTCGCATTCCAAGGGAGTTTCAAGATGGTTTTGCACAAAGAAATGTTTCGTTGATTCCAAATCGCATCTGACGCATTGGTATGTGAAGTGGTTTCTGCTGTGTTCATCAAAGTCCTCAGTTGAGTAAGTCACATAATAGCAGAAGGCGCAACGATATCTGATCAAGTGTCGATTTGCAATGTGTTTCAGGAGTTCCATTTTTGTGGGAAATACACTCAAACATTGGCAAATGTGACAAACATATCGACCGTTTTGGTGTGTATATGTTTGGGTCTCATGACCCAACCAGTGATTCGTGAAGTCAAGCGGTTCTGTAGTGATATAATTACAAGTAACGCATATAAAATCTTTTATGTTCCCGTTCTCTGATTTTACGATTGAATCATCATGTTTTGTTTCGTCTTTGGTTTGTTGTGCGCTATGATGTTCCCTGAAAGAAAAAACAAAAATTGACCTATCACGCATTCACATATAAGACAGCGCGAAGTGCCATCTATCACCATAATCGACCAATGCGAAATACCGAATCGTAGAAAACCGGTTGGAACTGTATAGATCTCACTCCGCGATTTGGATGTCAGTGGTCGTTTCTAGTGGTAGAGGACGCTTAGCGCTGACTTATTTGGAAAGATGTATACGAGTAGTTGCTATGCTTTCGTTCATTGAAAGACCCTAGCCTAGACCATGCTAACGAGTAGCCAATAGAGTTGTTGATTCTCGTTACTTTCGAGTATTCGTTACTAATCGTTAGCCTTCTACAAAGTAATCATTAATTGTTTCCGGTACATTGATCACTATGAGTAGTAGGAGTTCAACGATTTGACGTATAATTAACGACTAATATCAAATTTGAACAACTCAAATGGAACGACTATATTATGCCTTAGTTTGGTAAGTTGTAACAACCTTAAAAATTGGCAAAATTATATAACCATAATTTACTTAAATCTGCCGAACTTAATGCAAAGATCGCATCTTCAAATTTTATGTAAAATGAGATGGGCTAGGGTCATATGACTCATGTGCATAAAAATTGAAAACACTTTATATTTACTGGAAATGCTGCAAGAGCATGTCTTTTAGTTGGAAAGTTGATGTGTATATGGGCTTTAAGAAATTTGGAATGACAAGTAACTTTCCGAAGCTATGGGCATTTCAGTTAAACATGTACTAGTAGTACTAGTATAAAAAATTATATGTGAAGCCTAGTCTACAGATATTGGTATTATTATAAATTTTTAGCAAAATGTGGAACCCTGATGCATGAGCGGTAGTCCTACAGTGTTGTCAATCAACGATTGTACTCGTACGGGTGCCGAATACTGAGTAATTATTTGGTGCTCGGATTGTTATTCGTTACTTTGGGTAACGAGTACTCGAGTAACTAATAGTTACTTTTTACCAACACCTCTTGTAGCCAAAAAACACGAAGCAGTTCTGAGATTTTTTCACATTCTTTTTTATTTTTTACTACACTCCCAAATCAGACATGTACGAAAACAGAATTATATATTTTTTCAATTCTAAATCTTTTTACCATTTTCAGACACATAGAAAACTGAAATCGGAGTTACTTTGATATCATTTGATTCTTTTCAATTTCGCTGGCAACGAATTTTCCTAAGACGCATCGCTGTCTGAATTTTCTCAAAGCTAAACAGACCGAAAAGTCACAGTAATATGTAAGAATAAAGTCATTAAATTGTAGCTTACATTTGTTTTAGGTCTGTATTTATTTCTATCGTATATTCTGTTGCATCAAGCGGTTCCTGTTCTATGTCGAATTTCATGGGGCAACTGGAGGCCTCTAATTCTATATCTTCATCGCATGGTTCAACTAACGTCTCTTCAAATTTATCATCTTGGTCTGGTGTTTCCTCCTGCAGTGATGTACCTTTTACTGAATCTGGATCCAGTTTTACTTTTTTGTTACCGTGATCCATCTTGCTGAACTACCTGCAAGACGCCACGGAAATCTGCAATATATTACTAGGCCAGGGAATAATAATAACAATTAACAACGGTGTCAATATTCACTTTCCTAAATTGAAATTAGGATTTTGAGTTGTTGTTCGGTAATATGCAATTTTGAATTACGTGCCAATTTATTATAGATAGGTATAAAAATATGTTGAATGAAAATAAAAATGGAACATGTATGTATACAAAGATATGAAATATACGCGACGTTAATCATAGCAACGATCTTGTGCGTCGTCAAGGGGCAGGTGGGGGTGATTCATCAGCAAGAGATTCTGTGATAGCGTGCCTGCCACCAAAACTTTTTGAAAACCGGGAGTAGCATATAATAAAGCCCGAAAATTGTACACAAAACCATGCCAAAAATCCAAATTTTAATTGTAACAGCGCTGCGAGGGGAATGCAGAGTCGACCGACTTGACGCCATTGAATACTGAAATCCATCATCTCAAAAAATTGATTAACTTTTCGCAATCAAAATTCTTCCGCCGCCTATGCCCTAGATGCAGACAATTTGAACCTTAACATTCTTTTAATTATCACTTTTATTTTGCTCCAAAATGACTAAGTTTAGGTATATTGTAGCGTAACTGATTTCATAAATGGTACCTCTCATATAGAACTTGTCGGTAATTGACATAGATAAACGTAAACGTGGCAACAATGCTGCCCGAAAAGTTGGCGGCTCGGAATGCAGCTGGCTAACGGGCCGCAGACCTCTCGAACCTCCATTGTTTCCGTGCGCTGTTGTCAGATCTTCGGTTTAATCATACGTCAGGGGAATTCCGAAAATGAGACATAGATTGGACGCTTCAACTAGTATTATTCATCTTATACGAAACGCCAACGAATCGTGATACTTTACGACCAGGGTAGTATAAATAACCGTAGGTGGGTCACTCTTTTAGAAAACAAAAGATAGGGGTAAATGTATTCACAACACGTTCTTAAACTCTTCTCAGGTACCAAATGGAAGAGGGTAGCACAACACATCGTACGTTACTGGTATAGCGGCGTGCCTTTGAATTTTTAAAGCCAGTGCGCGCAGATCCCGCCGTATTTTGCTACTGTCTCCCGTTTCGGTACCAGACTATATAAGATCCTGTTACATTCTTTGTAACCAGAATCTAGTCCATATTTTTTGGTTATCTACAGTATATTTTTTGACGATAGGGAGGCAGGTGTTTTGAAGTCTAAAAAATAGCAATATCGTTTTTGATTATCCTAATTGAATTAAAATGTTTTCCGAATCTCTTGATCTCACGAATTAGAGATAGAAGACCATGTCACACTCATCCTTTTGTCGTTCTGTCAATCTATTGCTGTGTCCGGGTATGCTTAACTACTGTGATAACTCTGAAAATACCTCTTCCATTTTGATATAGGGGCTAAAAATTGTTGAAACCATTTTTTGAATAGCGAAATATCACTTTACTTTGTACTTGAAATGTTAAATCCGTACAAATTAACGTGCAGGAAATACCGAGTTAATCTACTTGACTCAGTATTTTGAGGATTTATAAGAAGTATTGATTGGAGAAGTAAGTTATATCACTACTCTTGGAATATTTAACGCTTTCTGGAGAAAATTCACTTATAACTATTGATCACCCCCGTATACTACCAACTGTACTAAAACCTATTAGTGCTACTTCCCTAACCTATATTCACTTGTATCGAACATTTTCAGTAAGTTTGAATTCCTGATATAAATGTGGCAACATCGCAAATCTCCGAATGAAAACATGGATCATGCAGAACGAACGGCCGAAAATGTTAAAATATCGTTCTTGACATGCCTTCAAAACAGAGAAGGTTAAGCTACGCGTTAACATTGCGCTGGAATATGTTAATATTAATAAATTTTACCTGGTTATATTTACTGGGACACTACCGTGTATTGCATTTTATTCAAGCACAGTCCACGGACATCTCCACAACATATTTGACAAGCAGTGTTGCCAGGTGGAGTCGACGATATTTCCGTAGATTTGTATGGAATTTTTCCGAAGAGTAAATGAAGGCATTTACTTAAAACAATTTTATTTAACTCAAAATATACTCTAAAACAGAAAGACAAAACAAAAATAAACAGTTTTTATCACAATTTAGCTAACTAAAAATAAAATATTCTTAATAAAAAACAGAAAACGTGTATAAAATAAAAAATGTGTATGGTATCTGGATAATCATTCTTCGGATTCATTTTGGTATAAGTTTTTATCAGTCATATTATCTACTAATTTTTCTTTGTCAAATGGTCCATCAGCAAGAATGGCAAATTATGCTCGACCAAAGATGCGCTCAAACGAATTTCTCCTGGAAATAATAAAATAATATATATAATCTCAAATGTTCTTAAATAGATTAGTTACTTTTACCTTCTTTAATATCATTTTCTAATGTCTTTGATGCAAATGCAAATGACTACGGTTTTGGCTGTTTTGCACTTTTTATGAAATTGTCCATTTGCGTGTTTTATAAGTGCATTTCTTTCACTTTTGATATTAATATCTTTATCTTTATTGCTTTTTTAAGCCAACCTTGGAAATCTGGTAATTCCTCCCAGTCTTCCTTATAATATTGGGCACACGCACGCGAAAAAAAATGACTGCAAGACAGACTATACTGATACTGGCCGAATTCGGAATTACTAAGTACACGAAATCATACAAAGCGTACAATACACGCAGGCATGGACTTGTCACGAGCCGGGAGGCCTAGGCGATGTAGCCAAATCGTCGAGTATCTTCGGTGATTCGCCAGATGAGAAGAATCAGCGTATGTGGCACACCAATCTCAGGCAAAGAGAATAAAAATATATCTGGTCTAGTACGAATAATAATAGTACGTTTATCATTCTTTTTATCGCTATGCATCAGAAATATTTCTCTTATACAGGGTGTCCCAGAAGTCGACGTCAAGCCGAAACCGGGTGATAGGCAAAGTCATAACAGCTATCAGAAAAATATTTAAAAAAATTTTATGTATTTGTTTTGAAAATTATAGGTCTTTGAAGAAAATATAGAAATTTCACACCCTACGGCAGTCTGTCAACTCCTGTTACTACAAATATTAACTTTTTTTGGATTTTATTTTTACAATGTAATGATGAATAATGTATCTTCAAACTGGTGTCTCAACCTTACTGCCAACTTTTCTCGTTCAGGAAAAATTGCCACTTATTTCCCAACCAAGTATTCCAAAGTAAAACTTTGCTCAACTTTAACTGGCTGTACTGGAAAAAAATGTACTACGAGAGTTTGGCAACTAACCTTAAAAGTTGGCGCATTTAATAACGATTCCAAAATGGTATAGCACTCAGGAGATTACTCGTTAACTTATGCACAATTTTTATTTGAAAAAAAACTGATGAAAATTTTTCAAAATTTCCTAATTAAACAGCGATTATGAAAACGCACAAGGACCCTTAAGGATAATTGTTTGCACAACAGTGGGCGTCAAAATGCTGCTGATGATGATTTACCTTTACAGCAAATGCTCAAACTGTTTTCCTTCAGCCGCAATACACGCTCGACATCTTCTTAAAAAAGATCGGGTTATTAAACGAGCGAATCCACGGTTATTAACAAACTCAGCTGCTTCCAATAGTCTTTGTCGTAGCTCAGCTACATTTTGAATCGGCTTGAAATATACTTTTTCTTTTACAGTTCCCCAGTAAAAAAATCTAAAGGATTCAAATCAGGGGATCGGGCTGGCCACGGTATTGTACCAGACCGCCTTATCCATCTGCCTGGAAAGTTTTGACCGAGATACTCTCTCACTGAGAGTGCATAGTTCGCTGGGCAGCCACCATGCTGAAACCATACGTTATGTCCCTGTAAATACTCAGTGGTACGTCCACCAATAAATTTTGTACATGATTTTTCAAAAAATCCAAATAAACTTCAGCAGTCAAAGTCTCTGGAAGCTCAAACGGACCGATTATTTAACCATTTAAAATTCCTGTCCAATGGGTTATCTTGAAGCGATATTGAGATTTATCTTCCCTCATCAAATGTGGATTTGCTACGTGCCACTCGTGTAAGTTATGCAGGTTCATGTACCCATCTTTCTTAAATGTGGTCTCATCCGACCATAAAATTTTTTCAAAGAACTGTGGATCTTTCCTGTGTCTTTCTAACATTGTGCGACAAAAAGCAACTCGGGGCTCATAATCCCGGGGCAGGAGAGGATGAAGCACATCACTGACTTGCTATTGCACACTTTGATACCGATCAGTACTCCTTCGTTTACTGCGCATCTTTACATGTTCGTGCTTGTTGATTTCGTACTGTTACTAATTTTGAATTCGTGAACTGGACTGTTGATCGCTTGTGATTTGAATTTGGACTGTTTAATTGCTCTTCAAAACAACATTTGCTTTCCTTAGACTATCTTTGATAGTGTGATTGTGCAGTGCCGCTATGTCCGTGTACACCGTACAAGAATATGCTAACATGCACCTCATTTATGGGGAATGCAGATGCAACGCTAGTGCTGCAGCGAGACTTTACTGTGAGAGGTACCCGAATGCAGCTCGTGATCCAGATCATCGAGTGTTCACAAATGTGCACCGCTTACTATTCTCAGAGGGCCAACTACCAAACCAATCACACGGTGAGGGAAGATCTTTCCTTCCTTACGAAGACGTGGTGCTAGGAGCTGAGGAAGAAGACCCGAGTACTTCAGTGCGTGCAATAGAACTAAAAACAGGTGTGCCCAAAAGTACAGCCCATAGAATCTTGCAAAAAAACAAAAACGTGCTCCATCCATACCACGTACAGCGTGTTCAAGCTCTTCTGCCCCGGGATTATGAGCCTCGAGTTACTTTTTGTCGCACAATGTTAGAAAGACACAGGGAAGACCCACGGTTCTTTGGAAAAATTTTATTGTCAGATGAGACCACATTTAAGAAAGATGGGTACATGAACCTGCATAACTTACACGAGTGGCACGTAGCAAACCCACATTTGATGAGAGAAGATAAATCTCAATATCGCTTCAAGATAAACCATTGGACAGGAATTTTAAATGGTAAAATAATCGGTCCGTTTGAGTTCCCAGAGACTTTGACTGCTGAGGTTTATTTAGGTTTTTTGCAAAATCATTTAGAAAATTTATTGGAGGACGTACCACTGAGTATTTACAGGGACATGTGGTTTCAGCATGATGGCTGCCCAGCGCACTATGCACTCTCAGTGAGAGAGTATCTCGATCAAAACTTTCCAGGCAGATGGATAGAGCGGTCTGGTACAATACCGTGGCCAGCCCGGTCACCAGATTTGAATCCGTTAGATTTTTTTTACTGGGGAACTGTAAAAGAAAAAGTGTATTTCAAGCTGATTCAACATGTAGCTGAGCTACGGCAAATACTATTGGAAGCAGCTGAGTTTGTTAATAACCGTGGATTCGCTCGTTTAATAACCCGATCTTTTTTAAGAAGATGTCGAGCGAGTATTGCGACTGAAGGAAAACAGTTTGAGCATTTGCTGTAAAGGTAAATCATCATTAGCAGCATTTTGACGCCCACTGTTGTGCAAACAGTTATTTTTAAGGGTCCTTGTGCGTTTTCATAATCGCTGTTTAATTAGGAAATTTTGAAAAATTTTCATCAGTTTTTCTTCAAATAAAAATTGTGCATAAGTTAACGAGTAATCTTCTAAGTGTTATACCATATTGGAATCGTTATTAAATGCGCCAACTTTTAAGGTTACTTGCCAAACTCTCGTAGTACATTTTTTTCCAATACAGCCAGTTAAAGTTGAGCAAAGTTTTACTTTGGAATACTTGGTTGGGAAATAAGTGGCAATTTTTCCTGAACGAGAAAAGTTGGCAGTAAGGTTGAGACACCAGTTTGAAGATGCATTATTCATCATTACATTGTAAAAATAATATCCAAAAAAAGTTAATATTTGTAGTAACAGGAGTTGACAGACTGCCGTAGGGTGTGAAATTTCTATATTTTCTTCAAAGACCTATAATTTTCAAAACACTTACATAATTTTTTTTTAAATATTTGTCTGATAGCTGTTATGACTTTGCCTATCACCCGGTTTCGGCTTGACGTCGACTTCTGGGGCACCCTGTATATGGAACAAAAATTATTCAAAAGAAAAAAGTCCACTTTTCGCTAGATTTTGCTTTAGAATCGGTAGTTCGGTAGACCAGGACCAAAATCGGTAGATCTACCGAAAAATCGGTAGACCTGGTAATACTGCTGATAATCGATATAGATGAAGTTTTAGCTACGTTGTCAGATCTCCATTTTTTGTTGCATTACCTCACCAAAGTGTAAGACTACACCACAGCAATACGCATCCTCATGTCTCACAACAAACGAAGGACTTTATTGAACGACTTGGCCGGGAAGTCATTGCCTACCCAACTAGCAAAGTAGTGGTATAAGCTTTTGGTAAAAGAACTGTTCAGCCATAAAAGCTCTCTATTGTTGTTGCCCGAACACCAAAATGCTGGCTTAATGTTGTGTGGAATGCAAATTTGCTTTCTGCAACATATCTGCTCTAAAATGAGGTGTTTAAAATATTCTTATAGCATAGTTATACAACACCTTATAGGGCAAATTTTTAACTGTTGCATAAACGTTCATACAACTATTTTATACGGCATATTTGCAAGTTAGTCAAAATGGTTGTGTTGTGGCATCCATGGTAACGTTTATAAAACAGACCCGAGCCTTGTTGTTTTGCTGTGCAATTTACTACTTTATCCAACAAATTGCTCCCAACGGAAGCACTTATACAACTGTTGTTTAGTAACTGTTAAAGGCTGTACATATGCTAAATATGTTGCTAAACAACTTCACCTTAACCTAACTTTCTGCTGTCATATTTTTGTTAAAATGCCATAACCAATGTTTTAAGACAAACAACGCATGCATATTGGTTAAAAAGGTTTTATCAACTGTTCAAACAGAAGATATAGATCTGGTACAAATTCTAGGTAAATCATTGGACTCTGTCGGTATTTCATTTCTGACATTTGTCAAATTGTTGTATAACACCTGCAGGCAACACCAAAATATTCTAATAAACTAAAGACAACATGGATGATGCCATGATTGTACACAACCACCCGCCATATTGGGCAAAGATTTATTCCTCTATTTAATATTAAATAATTATGTTTCAGTTCGAAATTACAGATCTAAAGTGATAAAAATTAGTGTAATTGTGTCTAAATATAGGATTTGTGGAAGATTTGACGCAGATAAGTTCAGGTTTCCATCTTAAAAATCTAGACATACTTTTGATCATTGTCAAAATATGAATCAAAGACCAAGCCCGTAGAAATTGGGTAACTAATTTGCACGATAATCACAATAAAATTTGCTGCGCAAGTAATTCAAGAGCCCTATATCACAGTGTAGAAGTTATCATATACCTGTGTATGAAATTCACAATGGCCGATATGTAAGTAATCAAGATGACTGTAATGTGTTAGTTATATATTCTTCACTTCGTCTATACAATACATAAGAAATAGTTTGGTTGCAATAAAGTAGAATCACGTAACAGAATAGTTGTATAGTTGACAAAAACTGAATCTTGCACTGACGCAAATGTCCTATAGCGGCACACTTTTGTTTTATAACTGTTACCTGCAGCCCTTATACAACCTCTTAAATGACTGAAGTGTCCTATTAGGTGTGCCCATTCCGCTTGTATAGCTGTTCTAAGAGGGTTTTGCCAATGTTCTTACATTATCCAATGCTGTTTAAGGAATACTGTATAATCATTCTTGCAACTCTAATATGAGTGATAATTGTTAGTTGCCTATCCCTCTTACAGCCCTGACATAGCGTTTCCTAAATTGAAAGAGCACCTAGGCGGTCAACGGTTCGAGATGAACGGGGAGTTGCAAGTTTCTAAACTTAAATAGCTTAAAGATCATGGTGAATTCGTTTTTTTTGCATATAAAAAATTCAGTGTCAGAAAAAAATTTAGGAACTTTATTTTTGACACAACACTCGTAGATAAGAGATAACTGACAAAAATATGTTGATTAAAATTTTACCATAGGCCTCACACTTAAGCCTGATAGAGACAATTTGATGATTATTTATGTTTAGATTAGGTATCTGTTTTGTTCTATTCCATGGCCTGCTTCTATTAATTGCCTTTTCCGTATATACCCTTAGTGAATATGCATTTACTTACCTTTTAGCAGCATTTTGTAATATTTTCAAAAAGGGTTATTTTATTCTGATGAATAAAAGAGAATTCCAGAAAAATTGATTCAAGGGATTTCCGTATAAAACTTTCTTTGGTCTAAATTTTAGGTTAGGAACAAAATATCGAGATGCGGTTTTCACGAGCTTGCTTAGACTTCATTTGGCTACTTTTTCATAAAAAAAAATCATACCAAAGCCTTTAATTTATTTGAGAAAATTAACCATTTCTGACGAAATGTCGAAAAAAGCCCTCTAGCGGCCACACGTGAAACTAACAATACTTCAAATATAACATTTGTAGCCCAAGAATAGCTCTTTTCAACTAGCCCAAATTTGTTAAAGTAGGCGCAGCCGTTTCAAATATACAGGGTGTTTTTACGGAAACCTTTGAATACCTCCCACCACTCATTTTTAGAGATACAGCAAAAAAAAATTTTTTAGATTCAAGATTGCAGTTACGCCCCCTAGCGGCCATTTCCGAAACAATATTTTTCAGGTTTTTCTCTTGGCCGTTATTGCCGCAAGTCTCTACGATGGATAGGGTTCCAGTAGATTACTTCGCGTTCTTAGTTGGCCAACCTGTACATATGTCACGAAATACCCTATATAGTGTTCAAAAAAACACTGCTTTCAACTTTTCTCGTAAGTAGTTTACGATCTGCTAGTTAGTGAACATGATTAAAGTAGGCGAGTTTACTATCAAGTAGTGAATTTCGCGTAATGTCATCAACCCTTTAGATGAGTTTGCAAGATTTTTTAATAGGATAGAAATATTGAACATTGAGATTTTTATGCATTTATTCCAATTGTATACAATAAGCTGTAAATTACCACATTTTCGTACATATCGCCAGATGGCGGTCCATCCAAGTTGTGTCTTTAGAGGCACGCCCACATTTCCGGCACTGGAACCCTCTTATTTTTGAGTACGTATACCTATGCCTCTTAACGATGTGATGATACATTCTCATTTTCGTTTCGCATTTAAATCCGCAGTCATAACATTCGTAGTACGTCGTTGAAATGCAATTATGTTTTTTAAAAACGGTGTCGGAGACCGTAGCAAAATTGCATCGCTCACATTTGTAATTCATCATCTCCTTTATGGAAGTTTGAAGGTGGCGCGCCATGTGCCTGCTCAATTCGTCAACAGATGGCGCTTTGTAGTTGCAATCCGGTTGCTTGCAAGGAATTCCTTCTGAACCAGCTTTCGTACGATGCATCATATTTATGTGATCACTGAAAGCCCGCCAAGATCTTGTATCGTAACGGCAGATCCTACACCTGAAGGTAGGGTTTTGAAGTCCTTTATGTTTTTCTTCATAGTGCTGCAAAGCGTAATAATTGCTCGTCCCACTATAGGGACACAGTGGACAATACCATCTCTGGTCATGTTCGTAATAGATTGGGCCTTTTTCTTCTTGTCTTGTTTTTTGTTCAGTTTGGGGTAAATTCCGACTACTTGAACAAGCTGCATCCACCGTAGTAGCATCGTCCGCAGTTTCTATCTCTAGGAAATCTGTAGCTTCTATCTTTATTTCAACTTCCTCAATGCTATCCACGTCTTCTTCTTCCAAGACACCTGCACGGGAAATTTCCTCAGATTCTATCATTTCTTCCTTAACTTTGACTTCTTCAATAGGCTGGAGTATGTTATCAGCTGTTTCTTCTTCTTCTTTGAAAGGATCTGCATAACCTATATGCTCACTTTCTTGCAAAACTTTTACGTGAACATCATCCTCAAATTCTTCAATAGGTTGTTGTATGTTATTTGCACCTTCTTGTAACATATTTGCTCGAGCAATGTCATCAGATTCTTCATTAGGTCGATTTATGCTGTCTGTGTCTTCAGATCCTTCAATTGCTCTAACTTCAGCATGAGTAACATCTTCTTCCAAAGCAATATTCTCAGTTTTTATTATCTTTTTCTTAATCATAACCTCATCATCATCTATAACAGGCGCGTTCCTATTTGATTCATCGACTTTAGTGCTTCTTCCAGGTTTTTCAAAGTCTGTGTTTTGCATTTCCCTTTGAGCTAATGTACATTGTAGAGGCTCTTTAGTCGTTTCATCAACCTCAGTGTTTATTCCAGACTTTTCATAGTTTTTATTCTTCTGCTTTTGAGTTGATGTACATGCTAGAGTGTCTCTGACTGTGTTTGTTGATTCCATCGTGGTGTTTTTACCAGGTTTTTCGGTATTCGCGGTTTCTTCATATAATTTGTTTGGCGTTTCTCCACATCGGAAGCCTTCGATCTCTAACTCGATCTCATGGGTCTGGCTTAAATGGTCGATCATTCTGTATCGAGCGTCGTCCTTATATCCACAGTAAGGGCACTTTGCCCAACTATCAGGCTCGATATCAGCTTCACTGTTCGTGTCTTTGCCGGAATCGTCTTTCGACATTGCTCTATTGGAAGTATGGCATTGACTGCATTTATCATTAAACGGGCCGTTCGCCCCGTGTAATGCTCTGTGTCTATCCAGAAACGTTTCTCTTCTGAAAGTGCAGTCGCAAAAATCACACTGGTATGGTCTCTCGTACATCGTACTTCCGGGTTCGGTACAATTGTGACTTCTTTTATAGTGCGTTTTCAGGGCATTTTCGCTACCCGTCTTATACGTGCACATCTTGCAGCGTAGAAAAGCCCATGAATGGGTTAATCGATGGATTTTCAAAAGTTCCGGTTTTCTCGTTTCAAAATAGCATTCTCTGCATCTTCGAAACCTGGCCTTGTTGTGAAACTTCAACTTGTGGTTTTTGAGTAAGAGCCAATGATTTGCTTTGAACTCGCATTTTAAACAAGCCCAAGGATTGTCCATGTGGTCTTCCACAAAAAGGCGCTTGGTAGATTCAAAGTTACATTCGGTACATTTAAATATGGTATGTGTTTGACAATGTGCTTCAAATTCATCTTCCGTGAATGTTACATAATAACAAAAGGGGCATACCTGACGTTGATCATCAGATATAAGTTTTAGTTCCGTTTTCGGTTCAGTTTTATTTACTTCGAGATGCTGACTAGTAAAATGTGTTTTTAAGGATAATACATCAAATGTTCTGAATCCACAGAATTCACATAATAACTTAACTTTAAATTTTTTTGTTACATCTGCGTAAGTCATGTTGTGTACCGTCTTCAAATGTCTGTCGAATGCATGCATGCCCTTAAAAATACGAGCACATTTTGGGCATCCGTGACAAGCTTTGTCAGCATAGATTTCAACTGGATCTTCAATCCCTTTATCATCTGAATCGTCGTCAGATATCGTTATTACATCTTCTTGCTCTGCGGTATCGTTTTCTTGTTCTACTTCTGATTCATCTTCAGTTTTGAAAAAATCCAAGTTTAATACTTTTACTACCGTTTCGTCATCATTATTTTCGAATCGTAAACCCTCGAGTTCTAATTCGGCTGAATGTTTTAATAGAATATGATCATCCATAATCTTATCTTGGTGGTTGCAGTAAGGACATTGTATCGTTGTGGAATTTGTACAGCACTTGAAGGTAGTCTTCTGCTTAGAATGAAGTTTTTCGTGCATCTCTTTAGTCCCTAGATTTATGAATTTGCACGTGCAAAACTTGCACTTGTGCATTTTTCTCACTGCTTGAAGTGTGGTATGATGAGAATTTTTGTAGTGGTTGTCAAGGTCTTCTATATTTATTCCATTGAAGTGACACATCTTACACGATATGCTCCTTTCAAAATGGACGATTAGGTGTTTTTCGAGAAGATTTTCATCCCCAGTTGTAAAGCCACAATATCCGCAATCGATAATAGAATCTGATGGGTAGCGATGCATATTGATGTGCTTTTGGTACAGGATCCAATGATCTGCTTTAAAATCACATAACCCGCATTCCAAGGGAGTGGCAAGATGGTTTTGCACAAAAAAATGTTTTGATGATTGCAAATCACATTTGACGCATTGGTATGTGTAGTGCTTTTTGCTGTGTTCATCAAAATCCTCATTTGAGTACGTCACATAGTAGCAGAAGGCGCAACGATATCTGAACAAATGTTGCGATGCAATGTGTACCAGGATGTTTTTTATATTCCCTGCTACATGGAAACAGTCTGAAATTTGGCAAACATATACACCGTTTTCATTTGTATATGCCAGGGTCTCATGACTCAACCAATGATTCGTGAAGCCAAGCGGATCTGAGGTGTTAAAATTACATGTAGTGCATATGAAATCTCTTATGGCATTTTTATCTGATTTTTCAGTTGAATCTTCATTTTTTGTTTCGTCTTCAGTTTGTTGAGGTGTGCTATCATGTATCCTGAAAAAAAGCAAAGTGAGTCAAGAAAATGTAAGCTCTATCCCTCACGCATTCGTCTGAAAGTTCTGAAATTTTGCTTTTTCTATTGTTTACTTCAAAATCAAACAAAAAAAAAAGAATTATATACATATCTTCTCAATTCTGATTGTTTTCACCATTTCAAGCAGATAAAAAAATGAAATTGCATTATCTTAAGACGTATCGCTGCCTAAATTTTATCAAAACTAAACAGACCGATAGTAGTGACAATAGTACGTAAAAATAAAATAAAAAAAGGATGCAATAATAATAATCCGAATATAACTTACATTTCTTGTAGGTCTGCATTTATTTCTACCATATATTCTGTTGCATCTACGGGTTCCTGTTCTATGTCGTATTTTAATGGGTAACAGGCTGCCTCTACTTCTATATTTTCATCGCATGGTTCATCTAACATCTCTTCAAATATGTCATCTTCCTCATCCGGCTCTTGATTTTGTTGTGATTCTATTTTCACTGTATCTGGATCTAGTTTTATTTTTTTGTTCGCGGGATTCATCTTGCCCAACTACCTGCAAGTAGCCAGGAAAATCGCGATGTGTTACTACTCTAAGGAGATTCTGAATAACAAAATTCTACAATAAGTGCAACCAATATTAAAACTACAAAGCTTTTGCGGCATAGTAGTAGCATTGTTTTTGGTGGCGCACATGTCATATAACATCCAAAAAACCAAGTTACATACTTGGCAAAAATTACAAATAGAGCGACGGTTTTTCATCATGTACCATTTCGACTGTCAATTCGGTCACGAATTCACCCAATTCCAAGATTTTCAATGACGTAACAGCTCTATACACAATACCACCCCCAGATTTCGTCAAAGTTTAATGGTTCCTGAGATTACGCGGTGACGTACGGGCCACAAACAGACTGGCAGAAAAGTTAAAATCTTCTGAAACTCCATGATCTCAAATAATCAATCAAAATTCTTCCGCCGCCCATGGTATGGATGCAGATACTTAGAACCTTCACATTTTTTAATGCCTGAATTACTTTCTCATTTCACCCCAGGATGGTCAAGATTTATTGTAACTCACTCCATAATGGTACATATAGTATACAGTGTGTAACAAAAGTTTGGAACGCATCGAATATCTGACGGATGACTCATCTACTTTTTTTTAGGTTTACAGTATATTCAGATAAGAGATAGACCGGATGTAAACCAGCGGTTCGGGTGATTTTCACGCTAACGCCGCCATCTCGACGTAAAACAGGAGCTCTCATTGGTCAATTCGCAATTAAATGCCTATGCCGAGCGGCAGAGCAGTCGTATCAAGGCAGAGTCACATTCAGGTTCAGACGTGTTACGTATGTCGTGTGCATCATTGCAATTTGATATTTCTTTGGACGTTTTCGTTTGCTATCTTATTAAGTTGTTGAGTTTGTCGTTGTTATTGTTATACCTTGTTATTGATTGTTATTGTTATCAACTGCTTGCGCAAAATGCCCAGTAGTACAGATACTGCGGATGAAGTTGTAAACTCCTGTAGTCCACCTAGGAAACGCTCTAAAAAAAGACACCTGAGTTCAGAAATGAAAGAGGTCATTTTGAATATATATAAGATCGAGCGCGAGGAGAACGAGGCATCAACCATCAAAGAAATTGTTGTGAAGGTTTCTCACAAAGTTGGGGTGTGTCGCGCATCAGTGTTTAATGTGTTAAGACAATACAAAAAAAATCACACCTTTTCTGAGCCAATGACCAGTAAACATCGCAAAAGTATTGTTATATCATTGGATGAAGCTGATAAGCATGCGATTAGGAGGAAAGTGCATGAATTCTTCTTTAGGAATGCAATACCTACTATAGATAAAGTACTGCAGGAGGTAAATGGAGATACAACGTTGCCAAATTTCAAACGATCAACTTTCCATGCGTTACTGAAGCATTTAAATTTCAAATGAAAAAAACGGGGTCGTAATAGTTTACTACTGGATAGAGAAGAAATTGTGCTATGGAGGAGGGATTATTTAACAAAAGTTGGGAAATATAGAAATCAAAACAGGAAGATTTATTACCTTGATGAAACGTGGGTAAACGCAGGACACACTACAAGTAAAGTATCGGTTGATGATTCTGTAACTTCATCCAGGAGGGCCTTTCTAGATGGACTGTCCACCGGATTAAAAAATCCAGCAGGTAAATACGAGTAATAGACAACAATCGGATGTTTTTCAAACCTTGGGAACAAGGTTCTAAACATTAATTCCAGGGGGCAGATAAAACATATTACAAGTAACAAAACTTTTATAACTTTCGATAAAATGCGTGGATGTTTTATTGTCATTTTCATTTGTTAGAACTTTTTTAAGCCATGTTTTTATGTGTTTCCGATATTTCAATAATTTTTTAATATAATCTTAAAATATGTCGAATATTATAAGCTTAAAAAAAGTTACTAAGTTTTATATTGTGTACCGTTCCTAATATTTCTAATCATTTTAATTCATACTTTAAGCTCTATAAAGTTATAATTTGTTAATATTAATATTTGCGCGTATTTCAGGTTCCTGATCATTCATTTTTTAAAGGTTTATAACTTTAAATTAAATTGTGAAGCGCTGAGTAATCATACGACGTTCAATATTCTTTCTTTCAATATGACTAAATAATCCCAATTATAGCAATCTGATACTCATGTCTCAATGTTTTTTCGCTGAATGTGATGAAAACATTTGAAAAAGGTTCGCTTATTGAAATAAATCTACACCAGTTAGTACTTCGATTTCCAGGTAAAGGGAAAAGGCTCATTATCTGCCATATTGGCAGTGAGGATGGATTTGTTGTTGACGGTCTGTGGTGCTTTGAGTCTAAGAAAACTGGAGATTACCACGAGGAAATGAATGGCGAATCGTTTGAACAGTGGTTTTCAAAAATTTTACCGAACTTAGAGGAAAACGCAGTAATTGTGTTGGATAATGCGCCTTATCATTCTCGAAGAATGGAGAAGGTCCCAACAACGGCTTCAAGGAAAGTTGATGTTCAAAATTGGCTCCGCTCGAAAAATATCAACTTTGAAGAAGCAATGCTGAAAGTACAATTATTAAGAATTGTCAAGGATCACAAGGCGGAATATCAAAAATACGCCATTGACGAAATGGCAGCAAGTCAAAATAAAACTGTGCTCCGTTTACCTCCATACCATTTTGCGAGCTCAATCCCATTGAGCTCATATGGGCAGAGGTTAAAAATTATATAGCTAAGCACAATACAGCTTTTAAATTTTTGTGACCTCAAAGGACTTTTCGAAGAAGCACTAGAATTAATAACAGCGCAAAAATGGGAAAACTGTATTAAGCACGTGAAAGACAAAGTTGAAAAGAGAATGTGGGAACTGGACAATATTTTAGAGGAACAAGTCGAGCCATTCATTATTGACGTTGGTGCTTCAGGCAGTAGCGATGATGAAAGCTCATCAAGCTCATCTTTCCAATAAAAGATGTCGTTCATCAAATTCGGTAAGTTATAAGTAATTATAAAGCTACTGTATTTTTTAATTAATTATTGATATTTTTGAACCCATTTTGGCAAAACCTATTCAAGAATCTACTTTCTGACAATGTTCAACCATGCACATTTTTTTACGTTTTGAACGTTTTAATTTGGTTACATATTTACCTAGAAATCAAAAAATATACTAATCAATATTCTAAAAGCAATTTTAAGAGATATACGATTATTTTTAATTTAGGCTAATTTAAACGCCATTTTGAGATTATATTCGACTGTATTTCACCAAACATCAGGCGGCATCCGAAGCTGGAAATCGAAGCGAAAATTTTGAAACCCTTATGTATATTTACATCATTATATATTTCTTACCCCACCCCCACATGATCCTATATCCATCACCAATCGTATACACATCGAATTGTGCTAATTTACTACAAAGTTACGCAAAGCAGCATCTACTATCTAAAATATGTACTGCGTGACTCTTAATACGTCCCTGCCGAATGTTACAGCGTTCGATTATCACGTGGTCTTGTTTATGTCCGGTCTATCTCTTATCTGAATATACTGTAGGTTCTAAAACACGGCAGATCCGTTGATTTTATCCGCGTTGCTGCCACACCTACAGTTTTTTTTAAACTGATATCAACTTTATTGGATATTTGCATTCTGCGAGAAATTTTAAATACCTTTTATTAAACATACTTAAACCTACCAATTTAGAATAAAAATAGATGAGTCATTCGTCATATTCGATGCGTTGCAAACTTTTGTTCCACACTGTATGTGATTTGTTGCTCTCATATAGAACACGTCGGTAATTAACATAGATAAACGTAAACGTGACAACGTTGCTGCCTGAAAAGTTGGCCGCTGGCGAACGTGCGTTGCCTGCTGCCGCCGACCTCCCAAACTGTTTTTATGCACTGTTGCCAGATCCTCGCTTTAATCCTTCGTCAAGGGAATTTTCATCTTGCACAAAGAGAACGGATCGTGGCACTTTAAGAATGCGCTAAAGCAAGTAACCGATAGTGGATCACTGATCACACAAACAAAATTTTGAAAGTCGGTGTATTCACAAAACGTTTATCAATTCTTCTCAAGTACCAAATGTAAGATATACCATTGAGCACTACCGCTATCACACGGCATGCTATGGCCAAAGAGTAGTTGCATGAAGAAAATACAAGGTGAATAAAATTAGAAGGGGATAAGAAATTTACTCGGAAATAATGCTCTGTTGAGAGATAGATAATCCTGTTTGGATGAATTTATTAACCATCACTTGTACTGAACGCATTTTTTGTTCAAATTTACTTATGTTGGGACATTTATCCATGGTGGGGTTATTTATCATCCATTTGCAACTTAGTTTTCATTCAATAAACTTATAAATCAGCTTTTCACGAGAGAAGTTATTCTCAAAACCTGCAAGTTATCACATAGCTATTAAACTTAGGGCCCTATGCGGAATACAACACGACTTAGTTCAGTAATAGAAGAAGTACGCCAGCATGAAATTCAAAACTTTTCAAATCTCAAATCGCTTATTTGACCAATCGTCAGCCTATTTGACATGGTCGCGAGTTATCTAGATAGCCTAGCCTTGGGATATGTTCGTATGACTTTTTGATGTAACCACCAAAAACCGTGAAAAGAGCTGATTCTGCTTAGTACAAATCTGTCCCAGAGCCAGACTAGGTTAATCCATTTTTGTCAAAAATGTGTTTAATATGATAAGCTTATGATAATATTGTGAATTTTCATTTGAAACATGCAGCGTCCATCTATATGTGATAATAAGAAAGGACTGTTTAAGTTTAAGTCATGCCAAGTCGCATAAGATACAATGCAAGAAAAATATTTCAAATGCAATTAACTCAAAAGTACTTATTTGGACTTGACCTAGTCTGGATGTGAGGTACAAAAATGTAGCGTTTTGTAAATATTTTACTGCACGTAGATCCTTGTTTTTATTTGCAAACCAGTAATAGTCCAAGAGCTGACCGCCAAGTTTTGGTTTTATCTCGTACTGATATGGAATGTTAAATGCTAGTAAAATCTCACGTATTTTGATGCTAAACAATAAGCTCGGCAAGTTTGCTGTTTAGGCGTCAAAATATGTAAGATGTGACCAGTTTTTGTCGTAGGCGACACTACTCTTTGCCTGCTAAAGTCGGTGCGAATGGATCTCCCCGTATTTTTCTACTCTCTTCCGTTACGGTGCCAAACTATATAAGATCCTGTCACACTTTTTGTATTTTATACGTATCTGCGATGTTACTCATATATTCTGATTATATCCTGTATATTTTTTGACAAAAGATTCAGCAGATATGTTTAGAGAGTCAAACATTCGAAAAATCTATATATCTACTCAACGATGTATAAGTTATAATGGTTCGAGAAGAAAATTTTATCAATATCCTTGAGAAGATTTAACGCTCTGTGTACTAAACCCGACAACCTGACAAACTTTTCTAACTATTCATCACCCTCTGTATACAAACATCATACTAAATGTAAGTGCTAGCCATCTATCTAAGTGTATAGAAAAGTCTCAGTGTGTGTTTTCCTAATATAAACATGGCAACGTCGCAAATCTACGATAGAAAACATGATCACCCACAAAAGAACGGTAGAAAATGTTGAAACAGCAGTCTCAACATACGTTTAAGCCACATAGAAGGTTTAACTACATGTTAACATTGCGCTAGAATATATTAAGAAATTTTACCTGATCATAACGCGGAAACCACCCTGAATTGCACTTTATTCGAGCACAATGCACAGACAGCGACGGTAACTGATTGGCAATCGGGTTATCGGGATGGGGAAGGCGTTTATGCGACGTTGTCAGATTCACTTTTTAGCGACATTACCTGGGAAAGTTTGCAAAGGCTTGTTTGTACAACAGTCCAGTCGATGTGTGATCTGGCATGTTTTGATCGGGTGGACTTTAGTTAAATTTGACTTTGAAGAGTATGTCAGCGCGGGTTTCGGATGGTTCAAAATAGTCGGCTGTTCGTGCCTGGAGTGTGGGACTCTCCGAAAGGGGGTGAATATGCCAGTGACCGGATAGTTTAGATAAAAATCGAATACAATATGTAATTACGAATTTTGTGTTCAAAATAACTAAGCTAATGTTTTTGGGGGTGATGGTATATGTTGTTAACTTTCTGCCGACAATAAATACATTGCTTGTAGATATTCCCGTAATTTTATGAAAAAAACATCAATCAAAAAGTTGCTATTTTTCCAGTACTACTAGTTTCCAACTGTCGGACGACATATCACTGGCAATTTTCAGACATAACTGTATTTAAAAATTTGTGATAGTAAAATAGAAATTTCAAATCAGTTGTTTGTCATTAGGACTTCGAGGAAAAGAAATTAAACACGCTCGTACTGAATCGTTTTTATATAGATATGTTTGTCAAAAATACGTATCAACTACATTAAAATGCGTTCATTCAGATAAGGCCTTGCCTCGAATATCGCTCACACGTTTGGGGTGCTGCCGCCCCGACTACATTATCCAGAGATCCAGAGGAGGGCGATCCGACTGATCGATGACTCTTCTTTAAATGTCTCGGGACCCTTTCGCACCGGCGGGCCGTCGGCGATCTAGCTCTTTTCTATCGGTACACCAACGGGCTTTGCTCCTCAGAGCCGCCGCGCGATGTGCCTGCTAGACAGACCCGCCTGACTTTGGCGTCCCATCCTAATCGTGTCGAACTTCGTACATTCAGAACTGGCCGATACGACCGCTCCTTTGTCCCGAGGGTGTCGAGATTGTGTAACAATCTACAAGAGGAAGCTTTTCCCACTTCTATTAACAGTTCAAAAATCGTATTAACAAAATTTCTTTGGGATCATCATAGCAGCCGTGGTGTTGCGGCATTTTGGAGTCTGCCTGCGCGGCTGCTTCGATATATAAAAAAACTATACGTATATATAGTCAACGCCAAACAAAGTGGCGTGCACGTCATCAAGGTGGGTGTGTTGAAAAATTTACATTGTTGCCAAACTTTTTGTAAAATAATAAAATTTATTATTTACATATCTAGGTTTATAAGCAATATTAACCTCAAATGAGAACAAAAATAATAGTATAATAAAATTATAGATCTGTACTTGCATAATCATTAAGTATGACAATTATTGATCAGATGACACTATGAAACTACCATATTTAATTGATAGCTTAAAGGTACTGAATAAAAATCCAAATGGGGTCCTCCAAATTTTATGCATGGTATTTATTTTACAGAATTCATACAGAAAAATGCATTCTAAAATTAGGTAAGCTACTGGTGTAAGCTTTTTCTGTACAATAAAGTTAGTCGGAGTTTCTTTCTTCAGCGCTGTCTGAATCTGAATCTTCATCACTCTCAAAGTTGATTATTAAAGGTTCGATGTCTGGTCGATCAAAAATTCGTTCTCTTTCATACCATTTAAAAATTTCTTGCTCAGTATGTCGAACACTATTTTTCCACATGTCTGGGGTAACCGTTTGTAGAGCCTCGTTCCACATATCCAAACAGTCTTTTTCACTGTTACCATCTCTACCAATATGTCTGTTATAGTAACCTTTTGCTATGCCCCAAATTAACTCAATAGGGTTAAATATACAATGGTAAGGAGGCAGACGAAGAACTTTGTGCCCATGTTGTTCCGCCAATTCATCAATCACGTATATTTTAGGTGGTTTGTTTCTAAAAAAGCAGTTATTTTAAGAATAGGAATAAACAAAAGAAATATAAACTGTCGACCAAAATATATATAATTAAGAAGCATTATGTACCGAGCAACAATACTCAATAGCTCTGTTTTAAACATTGTGTTTAAAAATGGTATGTTTTGATTTGTCAACCAGTCTTGGATATTTTTTTTTTGTCCATGCATTGTTGGGCACTTTGTTCAATATCATGCTGTGATAAGGGGCGTTATCCAGTATAATCATAGATGGACTCTCCAATTTTTCTAATAACTGATGTTGAAACCATTTCAAAAAGTTGTCCTGGTTCATCTCTCCATGGTAATCGCTCAATTTTGTTTTCGAAGAAAATATCGCTTCACTACCCTCAATAAACCCATTTTCATTTCCAGCATGTAATATAATGTATCTAAAATATATTAGTTTTAAATTTTATAGTGCAAATTGTGTAAAAGTACATACCTTTTACCATCTGTTTTAATAGCTTTCACGCTTTTTTGGTTTCCATTTTGCCAAGAGCGACCTATGGTCCCATTTTGAAATATCCAAGTTTCATCGAGGAAGACAAACTGGTATAAGGCCTCAACCTTGGCTTGATTGTATTGCCTTAGAAATTCCACCCTTTTCAAAGCTATACTTGGTAGTTCCATGAGCCCTCGTCGCGGATTGTCCTTAAGCCACTTAAATTCAAGATCTCTAAGCAACCGCCTTAAAGACGTGGCACTACCATCAAATAATGCCCTACCTCTTAATCGAGACCATAAAGTTTGTATCGTAACTTGTTCTTCTGAAACCATGTGTAATATGACATTATAATTTAGTTAACAAATTAATGCAAATTTCTGATGATAAGTTATTATAATAAGATCTTACTTTTGTGATACATATTATAGATCACTTCTCGAATGGCACTTGTATCCAATGTCGCTGTGTTGGTTACACGTTTAATATACGGAATTTATTTTTCTCTTGGTATCCGTTCCTGAATGAAGTGAAAATATGAAATTATATTGCACAGCCTAGTGAACAAATGTTGCGAAAATGGAAGTGGCCTGGCTGGTTACAAGGATGCGATGAAAATTCGTTCATGAGTCATTCTAAAATCGGGTTGCAGAAAAACGTGGCAAAAGATCTAAATTCTAAAAAAAATCTTGTTTAATTTAGGTGTAAGACATCCATGTTATGCACATAACCTCATAAAATTCAATTTCAAAGCAAGGTGCGATCATTCGTCTCTAATTTTTGATTTTTAGAAGATTTACTTGGTCAGGATGCAAAAAAATAACAACTCTGTTGCTATCATTTATTTATTGATTAGTTAACCGGGGACGTTCAAGTATTACGTGAGCACTATGGGGGGCTTTGCTTTGGTAATTTTGGATGACATGGGGGGTAGGGGAGTCTAGATGATGATTACGTCATCGGTAGTTATTTACTTTTTTACACGAATGGCAACTCTCACGTTGTCTTTGCTTGAAAACGAAACGCATTTTCGGGGATTCCCGCAAATAATGCATACGTTTACTGAACAGCGCGCGGTAATTCCCCTACTCGGTTCTAAAGCGAGTAGGGGAATTACCGCGCGGTGTTCACTTGTCTAAATTTCCTCTATCAGTGTATTGTTTCGTTTGGATACTATAGCGAGTGGACGTATTGTAAGCATAGTAAAGCAAGTTATCATTTGTGTTACCATTGATTCCATTAGCCAAAGTTTAATGTTTAAATGAGATGTCGTTTCACATAGACAAATCCAAGCTATACCAAAAATTGTTTGAAACTTTTAAAAAATCTCATACAAGTACGAAAGTACAAAATGTACAAAAGTTAGTTAACGAAGTGTGGCGAAATTACAAATTACAAGCAAAATCCGAAAAGGAACTAGATATTATTGTATCTAAGAGAATCGAAGAAGAATTGCAAGCGGCGACTAAGAATAAATCCAATCTACTACATTTTTTTTCTAAGGTGAGTGACGACACCATTTTAGGTACCTATGAGTACTAGAAATATTAGAAATCGCCAAAAAGTTTCTCTTTACTGATTAGAAAATATTATGGCCTATCTCAAAGTATAGAGGTAATATTCACTATATTATAGATTTATTTCTTATGATTGATTCCGTCAATTGGTCACAAAGTACAGGATGTTAGTTTTATACATATATACAGAAAACTAACACCCTGTATTTTGTGACCGGAACGAATTGCTCATTTAAACATATTAGATTTAAAGCCATAGGGTTTTGTATTTACCATATATATATATTGCCATACTTTGTATTTATGTAGCTTAATAAGAGAATCTTTAGCAGAAGCCATAGAAAGTTTTTATTTTTAGGCAACCTGTAAACCTGCAGAAAAAACACAAATTATACAGTAAGCTTGAAATATTAAAAAAGAGGAAGAAGATAAAATAAAACCCGGTAATGAATCACAACAGCAACGCGAAATTAATGAAAATACAGATAAACAGTGAGCAAAACCTTCTCAGGAAGCTATGAAAAATAAGATTGCTCTACTCGAAAAAAATCTGAATGCTTTGTATTCTGCCAGAGATACTATGCCAAGCCATGCTGAAGTTGATAAACAGATCATTAAGTTGCGCGAGGAAATAAAAACAGCAAAACAGTCTTTAAACAGAAGGTTCAAAACGCAGTTGCCTAGAAGAAACACAGGGATGGTATGAAAAGAAAGTTAGAAGATATTTGTCAGGCATAAAAAAATACTATCTCTGAGGGATTCAGTGGGACGTCCTAATCTTGAGAGCCATCAACATTCACTATTGAAAAGAATCGCGGATATAGCTTTATTTGGGAGTGCAGCGGATGATAGAAGACGAACGGAATCAATTCGCAACGTAAAAACTCTTGATGAACTCACACAAGAATTACGTAAAATAGGATTTGACATTAGTCGCAGTGGGACATATCTTCGTTTGATTCCCAGAAAATCTAATTCTGCAGAGGGACGAAGACATGTATCGACAGTCCCTGTTAAGCTCATTCGGGCTCAAACTAATCACCACAAGAGCCACTTAGATAGCAAGTTCTCTGAAACATCAATCCATTATTTAGAGAACATAGCATCCATACTTGGACCAGATTAAGTATTTT